CAGGACAGAGTTTGCTTAATTATAGAGAAGAGCTGCACTTTGCTGCCAGCTTCCCACAATTAGAGTGAGACAGCAGCCGGAAAGCAGCGTCCCCGGGTGGAGGGTGTGCTGGGTCAGCGCCAGCTTTGCGGCCGAGCACGAACATCATCCTATGGGAGGGAGGCTGAAGGAGTTCGTGCTTGAGTGGTGGCCAGCTCGGGTGGTCAGGACTGCAAACTTCCAGAGGGATTTTACCTGAGTCACAGATGAGCAGGCCAAGACTTTTTTTTTAAGATTTATTTATTTATGCATAAAAGAGCTGGGGTGCAGGCCAAAGGTGTGGGGGGTGAGAGGACTCACCAGAAGCAAAATAGGGAGCAGAACAGGTGGATCTCCTGAAATACACTGCTGAGGCTCCCCTCACTGGGGAGACAGGAGAGGTCTGCTGCGTCATGTGGGTCACCTCCCTGGCTGGGGATTAAACTCATGTCGCAGTGGCTGCCAATAGCTTGATAGTGCTGAGACTTAACCCCTTGCACCACAAGGGAGGCCTTTTTTTTTTTTTAACCATTATCTGAATTTATCTTGTTCATTTTCCCCACCACCTCTGTGTCCCCGTGTCCCTTCCCCCTCCCCTTGTTAACCTCAGAGCCCTCACAGTGTTCACTGCTATCTGCTGGTTTTTGCATGCGTTTTAGGTTCCAGAATTATCTGCTGTGTGAATGCCCAGTATTTGTTTTTGTGGTTCTGACAGGTCAAGCCGTTTCTGAGATCCAGCCTCCCAGCCGGATCTAGGAGTTGGAGTAACTCTGATCCGATCGTCTCATAACTTCTTTTTGCTTCTGTCACTTGGTGGGGGGTGGGGTACATTGAAGTGATGTTTTCCTGATCAGGTGGGGGCACATGTCCCTCAGCACCTGCTTGGTGCTTCTCACCCAGCTAAGATGCTGCCTAAAATGACCCAGTAGAGTCATCAGTAAAACTGAAAGCTCACCAGAAAGTGTGTCATTGCTCAAATTTCCCGAAAATTTCAGCTCCTAACCACTCCCCAGAAATTCCCCTTTATAAATAGAAAAAACAAGACTGAATATTTTCTTTTTTTTTAAAGACTGAATGGTTTCTTTGAAATCCACTCCCCCATCATTAAAAAAACGAGCTTGCCACATGACTTAACCCAACATAGATATTTTCTGACCAAAGCAGGAACTGGCAACATTGAGCCTGGCAACGTGCAGACAGACGATTGGTCAAGGATTTTCTGATTTTACTAAAGCAGAAGTCATGTCAGTTATGCAGACCTTCCCTGGTTGTTTATTGGCACAAAACCCATAGCAACAAAACACAAGCATGAATTAGGAAGAATTCTTCTCAAGAAATTGCTGTTGAGTCACTTAGTGTCAGTGTTAGGAACGGCAGAGAAGGGGCAGGTTGGTAGCAGCAACTACCAACAGCAACTACCATTCAGCAACTGAATTCTCAGGCCAAAGAAGATTGCATTCTGATGAGAGAGATGTTGCTCCGTGTCCTCAGAGCAGATTCCCAAGTCACCTCCCACACGTACAACATTGAGTGTGAGGGCGCAATGTCCACACAGCACATTGCGGGTAACGTGTCCTCCCACTCTGATAGGTTAAACGGGGTGTCTTGGCATATTTTTAGTTTCTATTAATCTCATTCTGAGTGAGGACAAGCAGTTGTTTGTTCAGAAACCATTTTTATTTCTATCTTGGTGAATCATTTTCACAACCTTTGCCCAGTTTTTTCTGTTGGCCTTTTTCTTATCAAATCGTAAGAGCTTTTTCTACTAGAGAGATGTGTCTTTGATGTGAACTGGCCATATTTCCCCCACTTCGCAATTTGCCTTGACAGAGAAACTGATGAGGCCCCTGGCAAGGAGCTTCCGTGTCAAGGTGTGCACCAGCGTTTGTGCACCTGCCGGCAGGAGGCGGCAGAGGCCCGGACTTTGCAAGAAGCGGAAATCCACTGGCCTCCTGCAGGGTCCTCAGGCAACGCCTGCCGCCCCAGGATGAGAAGCGGGAAGAGAATCCTCTCTGGACCGCAGGCAGGCACAGAGATTTGGGAACCCATTTTTCTTCCTTAAATGGATTTAGGGGAACATTCCACCCAAGACTTGGCTTGGAAAGATAGAAGCGCCAGGGCAATGGTCCTGCCTCCCCTCTCCTGAGAGGGGGCGTGAAAGGCCAGCTCCAGGAGCCTGCAGCAGAGTCCCCAGAGTGATCTAGATCCAATGCCTCCTAGATCTGCCGGGGTACTGCTTGGGCTAATGGTGTCCTGGGGTGTCCCTGGTTAGTGAGTGGGCCAGATGCAGCCCTGGGATTCTACCTCCCCACCATCTTAGCTGGTGGCCTGTTCCCTTTTTGTCCATCCATTTCATTTAATATCAGCTTTTTTAAAAAAGATTTATTTATTTATGCATACAAGAGCTGGGGTCAGGCTAGAGATGCGGGGGGTGAGAGCATTCACCAGAGACAGAGTGGGGAGCAGAACAGGTGGATCTACTGAAATCCACTGCTGATGGGAGCAGTGGGGAGGCAGGAGAGGTCTGCTGTGCCGTGTGAGTCAGCTCCCTGTCAGGGGTTCGAACTCATGCTGCAGTGGGTGGTGATAGCTTGATAGTGCTGAGACATTAACCTCTGCGTCCACATCGAGGCCCTCATTTAATATCAGCTTTATAGAGATATAGCCCACGTGGCATAAATTCTCCTTTTGAAGAGTGCAGCTTGCGGATTCTGAGTATATTTATTGGGTGATACAAACCTCTCTCTGATGTCAGCACATCCCCATCACCCCCAAAAGAAACTTCAACCCACTCATCTGGGGTTCCCCACTGAAGTTTCTTGACCTGCCCTGTCCTCTGCAGCCCCCGCTGTGGGCCCTGCGGTCCCCAGGGTTTCTCCACTGCACAGGGGTCATGGTCTCCATGACCTCTTTATTGTATTCCCTGCGTCTGGCAGATGCACCGTGACAGGCGTCTGCCTAGAGCTGGCTGTCACGCACTAAGCACCTGTCCCCAGGGCCCTACAAGCAGCGTCCCCAAACTCTCACGACAACAGTAGTTAACCAGCACAAGAGAAGCTATTCTGAGAACTCTTCTTAGGAGGGAGGATGGAAAGCGGATGATGGTCAGGACAACGTGGACATTAATAATAATAAGGGAAATAATAAGAACAGGCGGTACTTCCAGAGGCTTTGCCTGCAGGGTCTCCCCGAGAGTCCACAGCGCCGCCCAGCAGCAGGTGGGTACTACCCGGGCAGAGAGGGAGCGCGCAGCGCGCGCCCTTACACCCTCCCCGGGGCCCTCTGCGCTCGCGCCCACCCCCCGCCAGCCTGGAGCTGGGCCAAGGCGGAGTTTTGGGGTTCCGGATGGGCCAACGGCCCCTGAGCCAAAATTCTGAGGCCCAGATGGAGTCGCTCAGGCCGCCTGTGAACTGGAACCGCCTCTCGGAGCGGCCCTGCCCGAGCCTGCGGCCTGCCCCGCGGCGCCGCACAGCCGGGCTCTCGCCCTCCCGCGGCGGGGGCGGCGCGGGGCCGGGGGGCGCGGGCAGGCCCCGAGCCTCCCCGGGAGCGCCTTTCCCCGCAGGCGCAGCGGGCAGAGCCCCGGGCCCGGCGGACGGAGACCTGCGCCCCCGCCCCACCGGCCCTCGGGCCCCAGCCAGCCTCTCCCCGACCCCAGGACCGCCCTCGCCGCCCCCGCGCTCCGGCCCGGGCCACCCCGAGCGCGGCCCCGCCCCGCCCCGCCCCGCCCCGCCCCGCCCCGCCCGTCGGCGCCCGAACCCCGCCTCCGCCCGCCCGGCCCCTCCCCGTGCCCTTCCCCGTCGCCGCGGGCCCCGGGCCCTGCCCCTCACCCCGACCCCAGCCGCTTCCGGGGCTCCCCCACCTGCTTCCGGGACCCTCGCCCCGCCCGCCCTAGCTCCGCCCACACCCGGCGTCTCTGCGCCCGCGGCCCGCCCCCGCCTAGCCCCGCCCCCGCCCGGCCTCGAGCCCCGCCCACCTCCTTAGCTCCGCCCACATCCTGGGCCGCGTCCGCGGCCCGCCCACGCCTAGCCTCTCAGCCACGCCCGTCCTTCTTAGCTCCGCCCCCACCCCCGCCTAGCCCCGCCCCCGCTCGGCCTCGCACTCCCGCCCACCCTTCTTAGCTCCGCCCACACCCCGCTGCTCCGCGGCCCGCCTGGCCTAGCCCCGCCCACAACTCGCCTCCCAGCCGCGCGAGGGCGGATGCGGAGGGCCGGGGCGGGGCGGGGCGGGGCGGGGCGGGCCTCACCCGGAATGAAAACAAACGGCGGCGCCGCCGCATCCGGGCATTCGGCGGGCGCGGCGGGCGCGACGGTGGCGCAGGTGAGGCGACGGCGGCCGAGCGTCCGGCCGAGCCGGGTCCCCGCGGGCCTCCGGGCGCCCCCGCCCCCCCGCCGCGGGCGTGCGCGGGGCCGGGCGTCCTGCGGGAGGCTGCGCGGCGCCGGCGTCCGCGGGGCCCAGGTTTGCGCGGGCGGGGCCGGGCCCGCGGGGCGCTCCCGGCGCCAAGTGCGGGGCGGGCGCTGCGGGGTCCCCGAAACCAGCCGGCGGAGCCCGACGCGCCCTGGCGGCCGCTCGCCCCGGGGCCGCGCCGCGCCGGGGCCCGCGGGCCCCCCCGGGCACGTGCGCGGCCGGAGCGCGCCGGCGGGGCTCGGGCGCGCAGGGACGGCCGTCGCCGCGGCGGGGCCGGGGCCTGGGCGGCGCGGCGCCGGCGGTTGGGCCGCGGCTGGGCCTGCGCGGCGCCCGCGGGGATTTTCCGTCCCGGGCTCGGGCGCGGCGAGGCCGACGAGCTGCATTTCCTTTCGCTCTGCCGCGACCTGCGGCGCGTACCCGAGCTGCCTTGCCTGCGGCGCGGCGCCGGGAGTCTCGGGGCGCTGGGTTCCTCTTAAAGTAAATCTCGGGCGGTGCAGACCCTCGGGCCGTCGGTGCGCCCCGGGCGGGGGCGGCGGGGGCTGGGGTGGAATCGGGGTGGGGGGGGCAGCGCCCTCTTCAGAGAGCCGCCCCCCCCCCCGCAGCCCTGAGAGGCCCTGCACGCCGTCCCAGCGGGGTAAGCACCCCATGAACCTCCCCAAGTGATTCTTCTCGGACTTTCTGAAGATTTGGGAGCGCAGAGTTGTGTGGGGTGCCCCCGTACGTTGTTTGTGTCGGGAAAGCGAATGCTCAGAAGCACAAATGTGCTCTTCTGCGTGAGAAGCGCGAAAATGTCTGCAACTTCCGCTTCGGTGGCGCCCCGAATGCACAGAACCCCTCTTTTGATGTGTTCCGCTCACCCCTTCTCCTCCCTATCCTGATTACCCTTTCACCCCCAAACTGAAATAAAACAGGTTTAGATTTTTTCTGAAATAGTTGATTTCAAATCAGGTGGCTTGGATTTGGGGTGTGGCGGGCGGGCCCTGGCCGCGGTCATGTAGCCAGAGCAGCTCAGGCTGTTGCTCTCTAGAAGAGCCTTTCTCATCAGCAGCTGGCAACTTTGTGCGTTTCTCGCTGCTTCTCTGAATTGGCTACACTATCCCTGCCACCTGTTTCACTTCTGCAGCAGCCTGCCGCGGCCATTGAACGGCTGGTGGTGAGAGATGAATAAACAGCACGGGCGCTGTTTGGGGGAGAAACAGGCAGACGAGGGAGTGGCAGTGCTCAGTCCAGGGTTGTAGGTGGAAGTCCAGCGCTAGTTATGGACCTTTCTGATTTTGTCACCTTGGCCAATTCATTTTACAAATGGCAGCCTGGATGTCCCCAGCTTTAAAATGATGATCGACCCAAGTTAGATTTGAGTGGATCTGCCAGTGTGCCCTTGTCACAAGATATACACCCGTCTGCTGCTGTGCAGTGATCACTGTTGTGGAAAGCTTGTCTAGTACCATAAAAACAACTCAGATATAGAGACTATTCATTATTGATAGTTCAGGTTTCCTGCTAGCTTTTCCTTTTGTTCACCTACCAGAGTGGCTGGTCTTTTGTTTTGTGTTAAACCGGCCAAAATACAAGAGAATATGTATACGCTATGCTGAGTTATTTCTGAAAGTTCCCTACTTTAGGGATTCATCTTTCTCTTGTTTTCATCTTTTTTTTCTTAATAGAAAATAATAGTGGGTTAAGAAATAGAGATGTGTAATAAGCCTTAGTACATGTTAGCAACTTTGAAATACAATTTTATGCTACATGTACATGTAGTTAAATATATAACAAGTATTTCAGTTTATAGATAAAATATATTTTAGAGAAGTCTGGGGTTAGTTAAAACCTAATTGAGGTTAGGCTGGAGAGGGCTCTGTTTTCTCTATAAAACATGATTGTGCTAATAGGTTACAAAAGACTTTGAAGTGTGGTGTGGTGGCATATCACTGCTGTACCTTTTTGCTTTGAAGGATGGCGCAAAAGAAATACCTCCAAGCGAAATTGACCCAGTTTTTAAGGGAAGACAGAATTCAACTTTGGAAACCTCCCTATACAGAAGAAAACAAAGAAGTTGGTTTGGCGTTAAAGGTATTTTTCTCTTAACATGTAATTAATTAGCAGTGTTATAAGTCTTCCTGGTAAATGAGCTTCTGAAATTGCCAGGCACAACCTTGTATACTTTCACCCTAATCAAAAGTGTTAGTGACAAGCAGCTATCTACTTTTTGCCAGGAGTTGACAAGCTTGTTTTTGTTTAGTAAGATTTTAGGCATGAGAGAATGTTGTCTTATTTTGCAGGGATATACTATCTTTAGTATCAGCATTCCGCAAAATCCTTCACCTGGGAACTGGGGTGGGGGGTGGGCAGTAGCCGCGCTGCCAGCCGGTGTGTTCGTTCAGCGTGGCCGCATTCTCAGCCCTCCTGCTCGGTGGGCTTGCTGTGAGGCAGAGTCCTTCCCAGCTCTCTTTGCACTAAGGCTGTCTTTCCAAAATATGTATATTTAATAATTTTGCCTCAGTTTCTTTTATCATGAGACATGGGTGAAATTTCTGGAAATTGAGGTTTGCTTTTCTTTTCTCTTATTTATGCAAGATCTGGGGTACAGGCCAGAGGTGTGGGGGGGTGAGAGGATTCACCAGAGATAGTGTGGGGAACAGAACAGGCAGACTGCCTGAAACACGCTGCTGAGGGGAGCAGCGGGCGAGACAGGAGAGGTCTGCTGCGCCATGTGGGTTTTCTCCCTGGCCAGGGATCGAACTCGTGCAGCAGTGGTTGCAGTAGGCTTCATCGGTCGCGTCTTAACCCCTTGCGCCACCAGGGAGGCTGCCTGCTTTTCTAGGCAGAGACACATTCATCATCTTTGCTAGAAATCCATTATATTGAACTGACCTCAAACGTACTTCTTTGCTCTCTGAGTTTCACTGTCCCGCAGTAAATGATGGGGCAGTTGTCAGGGACTAAGGATTGTCATGAGGGCCAAGGATTGTCCTGTGTGGCGACACATTGCTGCACTTGGGAGTGGACGAGCTGCACCAGGGTGTCTCCTGTGCCTAACAGGCCTCCCTTTTATTTTTATGTGACCGACTTCTGGTCTTCTGAGTGTGTTTGGTAAAAACTGGGTGTGACGTGATAGGGAAGCCATTGGTCATTGACTGCATTTCCTGGGGCAGTGATCTTGAAACCCCTGGAATTCCCCGAGTGGTTAGGGTGATAGGAGCAACGCTTGGCCATGACTTCAAGGTAGGGCTGGTCTCCAAAAGGACAAACTTAGAAGCTTGGAACGTTCAGCACTACCTGCCAAGGGAAGGGAGAGGAGCTGGAGATAGAAGCAAGCCCCAGTGGTCGGTGATTTAATCAGCCGTGTGGCATGAAAGACACTTCCTTGTGCCCCAAGAGGGATACATGCCACCTCCGCAAGGACGGGTCCTGTGTTTTGGACCCATCCAGACTTAGTTTGATGGACCTCTTCACCTAGGCCTTTGTCTCTTTTATAATAAGCCATAATCGTGTGGCATTTTTATGACTTTTTTGTCTTCCTGGTAAATTACTGAATCTGAAAGACTGGGGAAACCTCACTTTGCTGTCAAGTCAGAACAAAAGTGTGGGTAACCTGGGGACTAGGTGTCTGAAATGAGGGCAATCTTGTGTACCTGAACTCTAGACCTGCAGTGTCTGCTGCTCACTCTGGGTCGATGTGGTATCAAAATTGGTGTCACGGGAGAATCACCCTTCACATGGTAACTAGATTTTCTAAATAATATAGGAAGCATTTTTTTAAGTGTTTATTAAAGGAACACTTTTTTTTTGGTGATAGCAATAATGAATCTGTGTATCTATAGATATACAGTCAAACAGATATTTAAAAATATTTTTTGTCTTGGGAGAGAATTGGGTGTAGGCGTGGGGGTAAAAGAATTCACCAGAGACTTCGTGGAGAACAGAGCAGGTGGATTTCTTGAAACCCACCGCTAAGAGAAGCAGTGGGGAGGCTCTATTTATAGCCCAGGTGTCAGTGACTGGTCAGGGGACTGGTCTTGGGTGTGACCTGAACTGGCATAGAGGGTCATCGGCTCTTTGCAGCATCAGCTCAGTGTCCAGGTTCCCAGGGCAGCCCTGTCCACTCCCTTTATTCATTCAAGTCTCCCAGACTTGCCTGCTGGGCAGGATGAGGGCTTGGGCTTTTAAAATTAGCAATGATACCAGGACAGTACCACAGCGGATTTTAGAAATACATTTAACATAGCAACAGTAGTATATTTCTCCAGTCTTTTTCTATGTAACTATTAAGAAATGGTATTTTTTTAAAGATTTATTTACTTATGCATACAAGAACTGGGATACAGGCCAGAGGTGTGGGGGGTGAGAGGATTCACCAGAGACACATTGGGGAGCAGAACAGGCAGATCTACTGAAATCCACTGCTGAGGGGAGCAGCGGTGAGACAGGGAAAGTCTGCTGCGCCCTGTGGGTAGCTCCCTGGCCGGCCAAGGATCGTGGATAGCTTCAGAGTGCTGTGCTTAACACTTGCGCCACCAGGGAGGCCCAAGAAATGGTATTTTTTTTAAAAACAATACCCACCACCAGCATCCACACCTCCACCCCCGCTCCCCACACTCTTCACCTCTGGGGACCTCATTTTGGTTAACCGTCTCAACTAGCTTATTTTTATTTTGTTTTGTGTATTTGCTTATATTATTCCCTTATATCGCACGTACAGGTGTAACTATTTGCTCTTTATCTTTCTCTTTCTGGCTTATTTTGATTTTCATGATCCCCTTGAGTGATTTCCATTTGCCGATGCCAGAACTTCTTTCTTTGTGCCGACCGGATTCCGTTGTGCGCACACGCTGCGTGTCCTGGTCCGGTTCTGTCAGCGAAGGTTCAGGTTGCTTCTGTGTCTCAGCTGTTGTAGGTGATGCTGGGTAAGCATTGGGGTGTCTTTTACTCTCTGACTTGATGATTTTCATTCTTCGAATAGACCCCTGGAAGTGGGAATTCTCCACTTTAGTTTTTCTGAGGTGGGGCCACATCGCCTTCCAAACTGGCTGCACCAGTTTCCGTTCTCACCCACAGAAAGAGTAAAGGTTCCTCTTCCTCACACCCTCGCCAGCCTTTGCTGGTAGCAGTCTTCTGTGTAGGCCATTCTCTGTGTATGAGGTGAAATCTCCTTGTGGCTTTGACTCGCATTTCCCTCAGAAGTGCTGGTGAGCATTTCCCTGTTGCTGGGCTGCCTCTGTATCCTCTGCGGAAGAGAGCCTGTTCAGATCTGCCCGTTTTCTCATTGGGTGGTTCGTACTTTCATTGTTAAAGTGCGTGAGTTCTTTATGTAAGCTGGATATTGACCCCTCATCAGATGTGTGATAAGCAGATTTCTCCTCCCGAGGAGCCTGTCTTTCAGCTGCTGATACATGCAAAAGTGTTTTCACTTGTGCCCCGTTTGCTTTTGCTTTCATTTCCCTGGTGGGCGTGGAGCTCCCTAAGACAGCTCTGTTATTGCTGTCGTGGAAGGTTTCAAGTACGTTTTCTTCTGTGTGCTTTATGGCTTTAGGTCGCACATCCAAGTCTTTAATCCATTTTGAATTTATTTTTGTGTGTGGGGCTAAGAGAATGAGCCGGCGTCACTCTTTTCCCAGAGCCATTTGTTGACGAGACGTCCCTTCTCCATTGTATGGCCGTGACTCCTCTGCCTTAGCTCCTGTGGTGATAGATTTGTGCATTTATTTTGGGGCTCTGGAGTCTGTTCCATTGGTCTAGTTGTCTGTTTTTTTCCCATACCATACTGCTTTAATTTCTGTTCGTTTTTAATGTAGCTTAAAATTGGACAACATATTTGTTTTTCTTCTTTTTTTTTTTTTTTCCACAATTGCTTTAGCAACTTGGGACCTTTGTGTTTACGTACAAATGTTGTATTTTTTGTTCTAACTCCTTGAAAAATATCATTGGAATTTCAGTAGGAATTGCATTGAATCTGTGTCTTGTGTTTGGCAGGATGGCCATCTAGACTACATTAATTCTCTCCTTTCATGAACATACAGAGTATCTTTTCCATCTTTTGGTGTCTTGTTCTGTGTCTTTTAACAATGTCTTGTAGTTTTCATTGTGTAGATCTTTCACTTTCTTTGTTAATTTTGGCTAGGCATTTGATTCTTTTTGTTGCTGTTGTGAAAAGGGATTATTTTCCTATTTTTTTTCCTGTTATTTGCATTTAGGAATGCAGCAGATTTTTGTGTATTGATTTGGTAGTCTACCACATTTCATAGTGTTTTTGTGGAGTCCTTAGGGTTTTTTATACTTTTCATGTTATCTGAAATAATATTTTCATTTCTTCACTTCTAGTCTGGATTCTGTTTGTTTCCTGTTGTCTAATTGCTGTGGCCAGTACCTCTAGTACTATGTCAAATAGTGGTATGTCAAATTTTTGTTTGTCACTTTCATTTTTCTTAACATCAAGTATGATATTGACTGTGGGTTTATAGTATATGGCTTTTATTATGTTCAGGTGTGTTGCCTCTTATCCATTTTATTAAGAGTTTTTGTCATGAGTGGGTGAAATGCTTTCTCTGTATCTGATATGATCGTGTGATTTTTGTCCTTTTGTTAATGTAGTGTTATATTAATTGATGTAGTATGGTAAACCATCCTTGCATCCCTGGAATAAATCCCACTTGGTCATAATGTATGGCCTTTTTAGTAAATTGTTCACTTTCCTGGTATTTTGTTGAGAATTTTTGTATCTGTGTTCATCAGCAATATTGGTCTGTGATTTTATTTGTGATGTCCTTATCTGGTTTTGGTATTAAAGTAATATTGTCTTCATAAAATGTGTTAGGAGGTAGTCCCTCTTCAGTTTTTTGAAAAAGTTTGAGCAATAATAGGTGTAAGTTCTTCCAGAAAAAGCATATGTTTTATTTATTTATTTGTTTGTTTGTTAAAGATTTATTTATTTATACAAGCACTGGGTACAGTCAGAAGCATGGGAGGGCGAGAGAATTCACCAGAGCCCAAGCAGGGAGCAGAACAGGCAGAAGGACCAAAGTACACTGCTGAGGGGAGCAGCGGGCGAGACAGGAGAGGTCTGCGTGCCATGTGGGATCCTCGCCGGTGGCGGGGGATCGAACCAGCGCTGCAGAGGCTGTGGGCAGCTTTGCAGCCCAGCATTCAACCGCTGCGCCACTGGGGAGGCCCAAAAGCATATATTTTAAGTAGATTTATATTATTTTATTTTTTTTAGATTTTTAAATTTATTTATTTATACAAGCACTGGGTACAGTCACAAGTGCGGAAGGGTGAGAGAATTCACCAGAGCCAGAGCGGGGAGCAGAACAGGCAGACTGACGAAACACACTGATGAGGGGAGCAGCGGGAGCGGCAGGAGAGGTCTGCGCGCCATGTGGGACCCTCCCCGGCGGCTGGGGATCGAACCAGCGCTGCAGAGGCTGCAGGTAGCTTCACAGCCCAGCGCTCAACCGCTGCACCACTAGGGGAGGCCCAGATTTATATCATTTTAAAAATGGAACACTGATTTTTTTTTTTAATAACTTTGTGTATCATAAGCATTTCCCCATCACAAATACATACTTACATTGTCATTTTTAAGTGCTGCATGGTATGGCCATGTACATTTAACAAAACCCTAAACTGTGAAGTCCAAATGAAAATTATTCTTTAGGGGAGTGAGCATAGTGGCTTCACTCTAAGCACGAACTTAAATCTTCTAAGGTTTCTTTACCATTCTGAAGTTTTCTCTGCCAAATAACTTTATAACCAGTGCCAGTGATTCAGAATTTTCCAAAGTCTAATCTGATTGTGCTGACAACCCCAGTGGGGTTGGTCAGGTCACTCTTCATTAAAATAATTTTCTCTATTGTGGTCCTGGAGTCACAGCCCTCCTTTCTCCGCCTCTTCCCCCCCCTCCCACCCCCGGGTAATCTCAATTACTTCAGCTTTTTCTGTTGGGCCTGTTTTCCTTTTTATTTTTCTCTGGGTCCTCCCTAATCTCTACACCTGTCTGAATGCCCAGTCACCTGAATTCTTACTGCAGGTGCGGGACAGCGCTCACTGGAGGGGCCTGTGTTTTGCCTTTTTTTCCACTTGCTGCTGGACTCACGTGCTTTCTGACCTTTCACTGCAGGACCTTGCTAAGAAGTACTCCGACAGGCTGGAGTGCTGTGAGAATGAGGTCGAAAAGGTGATAGAAGAAATACGCTGCAAAGCGATTGAGCGTGGCACAGGCAACGAGCATTTCAGGACAACAGGAATTGCCACCATCGAGGTGTTTTTACCTCCGAGACTAAGAAAAGTGAGTCAGTTCCCCCACGTTTTCATGGTGACTGATGCTTAGTTAATGGAGGGATGTGATTGAATAAGTTGCTGGTGTTTGAAAGCTACTACCCAAGGTTAAAATTCCTGTAGGTTACTTTCTTTGCTGAGTAGTTATCAATTTAAAAATTAATTTTATGGGTTCTTAAACTGCAACATTTATGAGGTGGGTTTGGACCTCGGAACTTCACAAGCTCACAAAGCTCACCGTCACATTGTTAACCTTTCCCAGAGTTTGCAGGGAGTACTTCAGGTTTTATAAAACTGGGTGCAGTAGGATACCTCACAAAGAAATTTGTCCCATTTTCTATGCTTTTGGAGGTCAGAGGGTGGTCAGCTGAAAGGTGGTGGCCTCGGGACTTATCCTCTTAATCACCCTCCAAAGAAATGAGTGTGTGTGCATGCATGTGTGTCTGTCTGTTACCATGGAAACCAATGAAAAGAAATGAAAACTAACTACACAAAAAAGTGTATGTGGGTATTTATGGCAGCACCTGTCCACAGCCACCAGGAGGTGGCAGAGCCCAGATGTCCATCTGTGGGTGAGTGTGGTGGCACCCGTCCTGGAGGTGCAGATGGCTCTGCAGAGTGGACAGGCCGCCACATGATTCCCTGCGTGGGCAGTGCCCCAGATGGGCAGATCCAGAGGCATAGCAAATAGGGTCGTGGTTGCCTGGGTTGGGGGTGGAGGAGCAGAGCTGGGGGTGTGTGGGCTCTGGTGTTTTGGAGATGGTGATGAAAATGTTCTGAAATGCTTGTAACATCCAGGAGCCATTGGCCCTTGCTCTTCACACAAGAGCTCAATAAGTAAACTATGAACTTTAAGCTCTGAACTGCATAATGAGTAAACTATGTCTCTGTAACACTGTTAAAAATTTCTATGAAAGGTATAAGGGCTTTCTGAAGGGGAAAAAATGATCTAAGTGCCAGCACGTGCTCCCACGGCGGTAGGGAAATGCGCAGGAGCCCTCCTCACTGGCGTGCGCTGCTGCCCAGAAGTGCTGTCCCCAGGCAGGAAGCACTCGGCGCGTCTGGAGGTGGAGCAGATTCATCTGGTTTCCCAGTGTCCTCAGGCTGCCATGTCTTCCCCTCAGGCCCCGCCACTGTGTCTCATTCCTTCCTCTACGGGGACAGTGACGGGCAATGTCCCTTGCTCACTGGGTTGCCCTAGTGCTGTTGCCGAGGCCAGGCCCCCAGAATAAAGACCCCCATGAACAACTACCCCCTCCAGCGCAGCTGGGCCACAGGGTCACCTGGGCCAGGTCAGGTTCAACAGCTGCTCCTCTCTGCGTGATCCTTTCAGCCTTCCACCCTGTGTTGCACAGTCCCGCCTTTCCGATTCTGTAGGTGATTATAGCTCCCAAGGGCATCAAGTTCAAGTCCGTTTCCTTTTATTCTGTCTTCTTTTAAATAGGACAGGAAAAACTTGCTGGAGACCCGACTGCACATCACTGGCAGAGAACTGAGGGCCAAGTAAGTTGTGCTCTGGGCCCTGCTGTGGCACCCTCACTCTCCCCGGCTACCCCGTGAGCCAGCTGGGTGGGGGTTGCTGCCGTGCTCTGGAAGAGAAGGGGAGGCTTTGAGGCCGAAGGACTTACCGGCCCAGGTGGAGCTTAGGAGGATGAGGACTCAGGGCTTCTCCTCTCCTCCGCCTCCCCGAGCCCACTGTCTGCCTCCTGCAGCGCTTGCCCTGGGTCTGGAAGAGTGAGCGAGTGGTGGAAATGGGAGCCAGCACGCTCCCCACATCATTTGTGTTATTGATTGACTTCTTTATTGTATAAAATATGATGAAACTGTCCATTCAACAATGGGGGGTTGTTTAAATAAATTAAGGTAAAATATCATATAATGATTGAAACTTACTTTTAACTTTTATAAGTTAAATCCACAAAAAAAAAGCTATAAAAGATACATGCTTTAGTGATTTAGTCATCCAACTAGTAAACTTAGAAACATTTTCTAAATGGAATATACATTCAATTAACATTTGTGTTAAATTTGATTCCCCCTCGCTGGTGGCTGGCTATGACGTTCAGCAAACTGTTTTAGCCCATTCCAGGCTGTTCCATCTGTAAAAAAAAAACGTACCTGCTTGTTATATACTAGTGAAGTTCCTTTTTTTTTTAAGATTTCATTTATTTTTGCATGAAAGAACTGGGGTGCAGGCCAGAGGTGTGCTGGGAGAAGGGGGGTGAGAAGACTCACCAGAGACAGAGTGGGGAGCAGAACAGGAAGAGCTACGGAAACACACTGCTGAGGGGAGCAGCGGGGAGACAAGAGAGGTCTGCTGCGCCATGTGGGTCAGCTCCCTGGCCGGGGATCCAACTCAGGGCGCCACAGTGGGCCCTTGCGGTGGTAGCGCTTAGCCTCCCTATCACCAGGAGGCCCTGAAATTTTAACTTTTGAAGGCTGCTCAGCTAATTCAACCACTTACATATTTTTAAATGCTGTGGGTGGAGTTCTCTAGTGTTCTCCAGGCTTTCCAAAGCTGGGTTTCCTCGCCTGTAGCAGACCCAGTAGCTGGGTCTGTAGCAGGGCAGTTAGGCGTGGAGCCGGGACACAGCCATCACCCGGCGTGCGCGCACACACCCCCACGGCCTGTGGAAGGTGTAGAGGGTGAGGCCAGAGCCACCTGTTCAGGTGGCCACGTGCCCCCGTGGGCTCTACCTCACGGGAAAACGGCCATGAGCGCTGCCCCTTGCAGTTTCGGTCACGGTGTGTCCTTGTCACGAGGTGGTGATGGAGAGTCAGGGGTTGAGATTTGGGGTCAACCTCGCAAAGCCGCTGTCAGCATTCAAGTCTTTATGATGGCAAAAAATAAATTTGATTCCTATGGTTTATTTTACAGAATAGCTGAAACCTTTGGATTTCAAGAAAATTATATCAAAATTGTCATAAATAAGAAACAGCTACAACTAGGTATGTTCTGGCAAGGCATGCCAACAGTGTTGATCAAGTTGATGTGGGAACAATGATCTTGCAACTTTTTTTCTCATTCTTCTATTAAAAAAATTTCTGGTGGCTTTATTGCATATGTAATTCAAAACCAGCTATTTCAGAGTTTACTAAAATAAGAATGTTAAGGCAGAAAACAACCAGTAAATATATATTGTCAGCTCTGTTAGTGGAGCTGTACAGCTCCTCGACCTTGGCTGTGAACTGAGTTATTATTTCTCTAACTTGAGGGCATTGTGTGCCCTCATTTTCCTTCCTGTTGCCTAGCACAGGGCACTCCCTGGAGTAGGCTCTTAAGTATTTATTGGTTTTATGAAGAAAACAGAGCATAAGAAAGGATGAATTTGGGTGTTTTCACAGACTGATTCTAACCACTTCCTGACAGTAACATAGTTACACACCAGATTTAAGCTGGTCGCCTGCCAAGGATGTGGCCTGGTTTGCAGGTGCCACTTAAGAATGCCAGCTGACATAGCAAGTGGACTAATCCCCAGAAAATTTAATGACACTTTTTATAGTGTGCATTTCTGACTTGTGCAGGGAAGACACTGGAAGAACAAGGAGTGACCCACAATGTAAAAGCCATGGTGCTGGAGCTAAAGCAGTCTGAAGAGGACGTGAGAAAAAAATTCCAGATTGAAGAAGAGGAGCAAAATGAAGCAGAACTTACAGAAAAAAGAATTCAGAGGACTAAGAGAGGGCTGGAGATCCTGGCGGAGAGAGGTGGGCCTGGCATGGGCTCTGACCTCACTCAAGTGCTTGATGGTGGCAGGGGAGGGGCCAACCCATTTCATTGGCTTCTCGTCCCCAGCCATCTGACACTGCACTGTCCTGTCAGTACTGTCTGACATTGACTTAACGGAGCTCCTTTGGTTTTATTGCAGCTGAGATGGTGGTGGACCCAGAAACCACACCATACCTAGACATCGCTAACCAGACCGGGCGCTCAATCAAAATCCCTCCCTCAGAGAGAAAAGTAAGTGTGGAAGTTCTTGGCTTGTTCTTTGATTTGTTGTCAGAAGAGGGTTTTCTGGTTATTTTATCTAAGCATGAAGGGCTAGAAGCCATTTTCTGTCTTGAACTTGTGAGCAGGGAAGGCAGCCCCTGTGGTGGGCCCCCAGAGCTCCAGAGCAGTACACACTGGGGTGCCCTCCCCTCTCCGCAGCGATGTCCTGTGGCTTCCTTCACCACAGGCTTCCCCCTTAGGGATGGACAGAGCAGGGGACTGGGGCTGCCCAGTTCAGGGAAGTCTAACCTCCCTCCTTTCTCCCCATACCCCCTCCCTTTTCTGGAATTTGGAGCAGTGGGCAGTGGCTCTGCCCTTGAATGTGTCCACACGGTGTCTGGAGCAGTGTTCTCACTGGGGCCCAGGACCGGGCTCTGGGCTGGAGTATGTAGCTTCTGATCATGGAAAGCTCTCCAAACGAGGCGACAAGTTAATTTTAATTTTTCTGCCTTTAAAGGACAGTTTTGAGTGGGTTTTACTACATAAAATATTTTGTATAAAAGAAAGGATTAATGTTAAGCTGGAATAAGAGAAAATTGTAGCTCTTGGTGGACTGATTTTATTTTTAATTGCTGGTGATTATTTGCTTGTTCTTTCATATTAAATTATGACCTCCAGATCTTTTTTGCAAAACTTTTACAAAATTTAATTGCATCAATTTAAAGATTTATTTACTTATGCATACAAGAACTGGGGTGCAGGCCAGAGGTGTGGGGGCTGAGAGGATTCACCAGAGACAGAGCGGGGAACAGAACAGCCAGACTGACAGAAATACACTGCAGCGGGGAGACAAGAGAGGTCTGCGGCGCCCTGTGGGTCAGCTCCCTGGCCGGGGATGGGACTCAGGCTGCAGTGGCTGGTGATAGCTTGATAGCACTGAGACTTTAGCCCCTGGGCCACCAGAGAGGCCCTACACCAAAATTTAAATCTAAAAATACTAATTTAAAAATATTTTGAATCACTTTTTAAAAATTGTCTTGGAAATGCTAGAATTTGCAGCTACTTCAGATGAAATGTAATGTGAATAGAAAGTGACATAAATGCTCTTTTGGAAAAGGGCCCGAGCCTCCCAGGCTTGGTCTCTGAAGGCAGTGGAGGGGGGGTCCATCTCTAGCCTCAGGCCATGCTGGACGGTGGGCAGGTGTTGGGTGTGCATGTCAGCACGTAAATCGAGCCCCTGGCTTTAGGGTCTCAATGAAATAAACCTTTAATTATATTTTTTCATTTTCAGATTTGTTGTGATTTTTTTTTTAATTTATTTGATTTCTTTAGTTTTAATATGCTTTTAATATAATTTGTTTTATTATAGTTTAAAGTGATGTTTTTTTAAATCCCTGTTTTTCCTAGGCCCTTATGTTAGCTATGGGATATCACGAGAAGGGCAGAGCTTTCCTGAAAAGACAAGAGTATGGAATAGCCCTGCCATGTCTGTTGGACGCGGACAAATATTTCTGGTAGGCACATTTGACTCGGGGATGCCAGTTAAGGAAGATGGCCAGGGTACCCGCAGCACCTCCCAGCCCCCCGTACTTCAGGTTTTCACCCAAGACAGCAAGTGACGTGGCAGAGTAGCCGAGGTGCGACCAGTTTGTCAGTGATTTCTCCCCTTCGCGTTTCCAGTTGCGCTCTCTCCTCTGTAAGGAAGGTCAGGAAGGCACACGCTTGCTGTGTCTACAGGAGCGTCTTTTCAGGATGTGTTGTCCACCTCAGCATCCCCTGTGGGCCCCTCCCATGAGCTCTGCTCAGTGCCCCGTGGGACACCAGTGGCCCCGGAGTGACGTTGCTCCTTCCCCAAGTCTGTTACTGCGTTGGGGCTACACAGTGGCAGTGCCCCGTCTTCCTCCTGCCTTTCTTGCTGGAGAAGTCATTTCCCCCTCAGCTGTTTGGCTGCGCAGAGGTACGATTGGTACAGAGAGGCAGAGTGAAGGGCCTGGTTTTTCTTTCCATAATGAGTAAGTTGCTTCCCTGGCAGCGCCTATGAGGTGATCTGACCGGGGAGTTTCCTGTCCTTTTTCAAAAGTATCTGGGTGAGCTCGTGGATTGTCGCGTGTGCCACACTGCAGGGCTACCTTGGTTGTCTTTGGCCGGCAGGCAGCCCCGTGGCCTTCTGCCCTGGGCCTGGCAGTCTTCGTCTCTGGTCTCAGGGGCCCGGCCATGTCCCGGGCTGCATACCCGGAGCCGGCGGTGCCCCAGGGTCTCCTGGCACCGTGAGGTCATAAAGCAAGCCAATGGACATTTGAAAGACAGGCTGGGTATTTGAAAATGATCAAGTTTGGTGTTATTTTTTTCATTTTGATGGATTCCTGAGAACACTGGACCTGGAACAAGGGGCATCAGAGTGGTGAGAGGAGAGCAGCCAAGGGAGTAGTCGGGGAGCTTCAGAGGGTCCCCTTTGGGTCATCTGCTGAGTGAGTGTCAGCACAGGCCTATGAGGAAACAGAGGCGGGGGACACAGCCCCTGACAGCAGAGAGAACCGTCCTCAGATAACTGGAGGGCCAGGAGTAACTTCGCTCCCAGCAGCCAAAGCGGGAAACTGCAATCCCAGGCCCTCTGGTCATGGAGGGCTCAGAAGGCCATGCCTTGGTGGAAGGGCAAGTCTGGCCCAGGCTGCTGTGGTCCCACTCAGCAAAGCTTAGAAGTAGCCTGCACACTGCTTCCCACAGCGGCATCCCAGACGGAGCTCGGTAGTGCTCACAGCGACGTAGCATGTCTAGCATCCAACTGGAAACTACTGGGTACCTAAAGATGCGAGAAATTACAAGCCCAGTGAGGGTGAAACACAATAATTAGACTCAGACCCCCACAAGTGACACAGAAGCTTAGCGTTAGTGGGGACGACAGTCACTTGGGAGACGAACCACTGCAGACCCATGAACAGGACCTCTGCAGGTGGTGGAGCTGCCCCCAGGCTGAGATGTGTGACTAGAGTCCCTGAAAAGTAGGCAGGCCGGACAGAAACATTCTTCCAAACAACGTGGCCAGACTGTTTCCCCAGTAGAGGGAAACCCTGACCCCCCAGGCACCAACCCGAGGACAGTGTAGACCCACATGACGAGCGATGGAGAACACCCAGGCCGCCGCCACCAGAGATGCTGTCATAATGGACCTCCGTGGGGCCCCAGCATTAGTACCTCACGGGAAGGGGAGGGGAGGGGAAGGAGTTGCCTCACACCCTGGCCGTTCTAATTGGCCCAGGAGCGGAAGCCACTGCCCTGAAGCATGGTCTCCCTGTCTTTGGCCCCCATTTCCTGCCAAGGCTTTTTTCCCAGCATAGTGGGAACCTCCATCCCCCCCGCCCCCAGCAGGTGGTGGTGAGCTGCTGTTCTTGAGCCCTATGCCTTTCCCCCACTGGAAGGCCCAGATGGTAAATGCAGCTCCCTTCATAAACACGGGCCCCGGTGCCAGAGCAGTCAGCCTTTGGGGAGACCCCGAACCAGAAAGGAATTCCAGTCACCCCATGGGGCACTGCTGTGCAGTGACAGTGCCATCTGCTTACTCCCAGCGAGTGCTGCAGGGAGCTGCTAGACACGGTGGACAACTACGCGGTGCTCCAGCTGGACATTGTGTGGTGCTACTTCCGCCTGGGGCAGCTGGAGTGCCTGGATGACGCGGAAAAAAAGCTCAACCTGGCCCAGAGATGCTTTAAAAATTGTTACGGAGAAAATCATCAGCGACTGGTCCACATAAAAGTATGTTACTGTAATCGGTGCGTTCCCAAGCCCCTCTCTAGAATTTGGGCGCATCTGTTTAGAGTATTTAAGAAGCTGCCAGACGCAACTGCTGTGGACGGGAGTCACTCTGCAAGAAGCTGTTCTGTGAGGGAGGGTTCAGGTCTTGGAGACCCGGCTCCACTGTGGTCTGTGGCCCCCAGCCTGTCCGGGACCGTCTTCAAGGCCCAACTCCCAGACCAGGACACCGGGGTGGCTCGGACAGTCTAGTGGATGATTTAAATGCGGGAAATAGACATCAGAGCACGGCGCTTCACATAAGCAGGCAGAGCTCAAGAGCTGTGATTTGAATGAGGATTTTTCTTAGGTGATTCCCACAAGTTGTCCAAAATCTGGGCAGGAAGGAGCTGGTCCTGGCTTAGGCTTTGGCACCTCCCTGCTGACCACCAGGGCTGCTGTCTGGGGGGCTGGAAGGGGTTTTAATGCCCCTTCTGGGGGGTGGGCTGCACTGTGTGGTTGGCCGTCAGGGGTGGTGAAGTGTAAGCACTCTCGGAGTGCCACCACCCCGTGGAGCCAGAGGGAGTGCAGATGTGAGGGTTCTGACCTGTGATTAGAAACAACATTGTGCCTTTTCTCCTCCGATAATTTTAGGGAAATTGTGGGAAGGAGAAGGTCTTGTTTTTAAGACTTTACTTGCTTCAGGGCATCCGAAATTACCACAGTGGAAATGGTGAAGAAGCTTTTGAGTATCTCAACAAGGTAAGCATGGCTGAGGTCCCTCCTGGAGGTCAGCGGGGAGCGGTGGGCGGAGCCCGGGCTGCACTGTCAGTGCCCTCTCCTGCCAGTAGAGGGGGCGGGAGAGTCCAGCTTCTGCTCCAGCTGCGGGGCAGGATGGTCCAGGGCCTCAGCACAGTCAGGGCTTTAAAACAACAGGAGATTGTGGACACAGCCCCTCCCACCAGATGTGTGAGTCACGGGAGCGCAGTTTTACTACTTGATAGATGGGTCGGGTTTTGGGTTTTCATCTAAAATCTGATGCCCCTCCTTCACATTGGGTACAGCCCCTTTCCCGTGCTAAGCTTTAAACTGACACGCTACACGCTCCTGCTGTTCCTCTATCTGCAGGCACAGCAGCTCTTCAAAGAGCTATACATCGACCCATCGAAAGTTCACAATTTGTTGCAGTTGGGATTCACCCCCCAGGAAGCCCGACTTGGCCTCCGGGCGTGTGAGGGGAACGTGGATCACGCGGCCGCACACATCACCAACCGCAGAGAGGTACCTTGACCTGGCGGGGCAGTGACAGCGCGGCCATAGAAGCTTCTTCCCCAAATGCGTTAGCTCTGGGCCGTGAAAGGAAAGTCTCGCATGATTCCATAGTAGGTACTGATGCCCTTCAGCTGGGGAGCCGGAGACACTCGTGTTCTTGAACTGCGTCAGTTTTCAGATAGTGCATGTTTTTCCTTTCATTTCTTGCTGCAACTTCAGAGCTACGGGCCGCCAAGTTACCCAGGCAGTTGTCTGTTACCATAGTGTGTTTCTGGAAACCACTTTAAAGGGGCCTTTTTTCCCGGTGGTCATGTTTGTAATTTGTGGTGGGAATCTTGCCTGGAAACATGAGTGAAATCACTGGAAGGATTTCCCTTAAGTCACAAAAGCAAAGACTCAAAACTGCAGTTACTTGGAGCAGGCTGAGGTGCATCCAGACCGGGCTCCGGAGCGGGGAGAGGTGCCGCTGTCTTGAGTAGGCAAGTTTTATAGCAAAGGAGCTGGGTCGAAAGGGCAAGGTAGCTGGTGAGGAAGGGACCCTCCTGAGACAAGTCAGGTTCCTCAGGTCCTTTCCAGCTGTAGACTCTGGCCCTAGAACCTTCTGCGTCCCTTCTCGGGACCCGGGTCGGGGAGGGCTGGGCTGGCCGGTGAGAACAACACATGCCTAGAGTGTGGGCTCCAGGGAACTGCGCCCTCTCAGCCCTGGGCAGAGCCTCTCCCTGAGCAATGAAACGCGAACTCCTAGGAGTTTGTCCCTTTGTGGTCCTGAGCGCAGGCCACTCTGGTCTACCTCCACTCTGGTGGGGCCAAGCTCACGTGCAGCACCGAGGGGACGGCGAGTGTGGTGGCCCCTGGGGTTTCCACAGGGCCTGGCCACACGGTCTGAGCCCTGACTTCAGCCCCCAAGTCCCAAGTGAGATTCCACCTCTGTGTCCAGAAATGTTTCAACTCCACACTCATTGTCATTTCCTTGGTCTAGTTTTTCTAATTCTTTGTACTATAAAAAGAAATATCACAAAATAATTTCCTTATGCCTATCATCATGATTCAAAAAAAGTGATTTAGATGTTTGGCATTAGAGAACACGTGCTCTCTGAGGGCCCAGTGTCAGGCCCGTGGTGGCTTATCCGTGTCCCAGGCCTCGAGGGAGAGCAGAGGTGGGGCAAGTCCGGGGGCAGGTGTCTGCCTGCTGGTCTCACAACTGACTCTGGGAGTTCTGGGTCCACGGTGGTGACTCTCCTAAGAGGTGGGCCATACTCCTGGCCTGGGCAGGTGGGGGCGCCGGCTCCGGGGCTGACCCTTCGCCCCCAAGGACTGTCTCCGCAGGGCAAGGAGTGGTGTCTCAGGAATCAGTAGAAACCCCCTCGTCCTGCTGCTGGCCTCGGCCAGGCCACCCCACGTGGTGAGACTCCTGGCTCATGGGCTCTTGAATAGGTGCTTTTTTTTTTTTTTTTTTCATATTTATTTATTTATTCATACAAGCACTGGGTAGAGTCAGAAGTGCGGGAGGATGAAAGAATTCACCAGAGCGGGAACAGAACAGGCAGACTGACGAAATACACTGCTGAGGGGAGCAGCGGGTGCAACAGGAGAGGTCTGTCGCGCCATGTGGGATCCTTGCCGGTGGCCGGGGATCGAACCGGCACTGTAGGGGCTGCGGGCAGCTTTGCAGCCCAGAGCTCAACTGCTGCGCCACCAGGGAAGGCCCTGAATCGGTGCTTTTAAGCTTGTTTAGGTTTTTTTCCTCTTTGGCAGCAAAGTCCCTTGAAATAACATTTTAATGGGCATCACAGTTTACAGAACAAACTCAGAACTCTGCTGACAGGGCTGGAATGGGAGAGAAGGGACTAGAACCATCCATAGGCCTTCTTAGGCTTTTTTTTTTAAAAGATTTATTTATACAGGCACTGGGTACAGTCAGGGGCGCGGGGCGGTAGGAGGGTTCACCAGGGCCGGGGCAGGGAGCAATGCTGCTGGGGGGAGCAGCGGGCGGCAGGAGAGGTCTGCGCGCCATGTGGGATCCTCACCGGTGGCCGGGGATCGAACCAGTGCTGCGGAGGCTGCGGGCAGCTTCGGAGCCTAGCGCTCAGCCACTGAGCCACCGGCGGGGAGGCCCCTTTCTTGGGCTCTTGCAGCAGCTTTGGTGCCTGGGACATGGGGCCAGGCGCTGCCGCCGGGGATCGAGCCAGCGCTGCGGAGGCTGCGGGCGGCTTCGGAGCCTAGCGCTCAACCACTACACCACCGGGGGAGGGCCCCCTTCTTAGGCTCTTGCAGCAGCTTTAGTGCCTGGCGCTCAACCACCGCACCACCAGGTGGGGCCCCTTCTTAGGCTCTTGCAGCAGCTTTGGTGCCTGAGACATGGGGCCAGGCGCCGCTGGGGATCGAACCAGCGCTGCGGAGGCTGCGGGCAGCTTCGGAGCCTAGCGCTCAACCACTGCACCACCAGGGGGGCCCCCTTCTTAGGCTCTTGCAGCAGCTTTAGTGCCTGGCGCTCAACCACTGGACCACCGGGTGGGGCCCCTTCTTGGGCTCTTGCAGCAGCTTTAGTGCCTGAGACATGGGGCCAGGCGCCGCCGGGGATCGAGCCAGCGCTGCGGAGGCTGCGGGCGGCTTCGGAGCCTAGCGCTCAACCACTACACCACGGGGGGGGGGTGGGGGGGCCCTTCTTAGGCTCTTGCAGCAGCTTTAGTGCCTGGCGCTCAACCACTGCACCACCAGGTGGGGCCCCTTCTTAGGCTCTTGCAGCAGCTTTGGTGCCTGAGACATGGGGCCAGGCGCCGCTGGGGATCGAACCAGCGCTGCGGAGGCTGCGGGCAGCTTCGGAGCCTAGCGCTCAACCACTGCACCACCAGGGGGGCCCCCTTCTTAGGCTCTTGCAGCAGCTTTAGTGCCTGAGACATGGGGCCAAGCGCCATGGGAGTAGATAGGTGATCTTGTCACCCACCTTCTGGGTGTTAGAGATTTCTGGGCTCCAGGGGCAGCAAAGGGCTTGCTGCCCACAATGTGGTGGGCGGTCAGTGCTTTGGCATCCCCCAGGGAGCCCCTCTCCTCTACTGGGCTCCCCCGCTCCCGCTTAGCAAGATGGCGGGGGAGGCATCTAGCTGAACTGCCCTCCTCCCGTGGGAGGGGCTATCCTGGGCCAGCCCTGCTCAGGTGCCTGCTGGGGGCGTCAAGGCGCTCCCTACCCACCTGGAAGTCCCTGCTCCTGCTGTGGGCTGCTGGGCCCGGGAGCAGCCCCAGGCTCTGCCCTTGAGGCCTCATCTTGTTTTCTGGGCTGCCTGGTCACCCGACTCCTGCATAGATGCAGCATAGACAGGGAAGGCTTCCCACAGACTCGGCCCCAGCTAGCGCCCTGCTGTCCTCCCACAGGAGCTGGCCCAGATAAGGAAGGAGGAGAAGGAGAAGAAAAGGCGCCGCCTGGAGAGCATCAACTCTCTGAAGGGGATGGGCTACTCCGGCCGCGCGGCCCGGCAGGCCCTGCAGCAGGCCAGCGGGAACCTGGATGAGGCCCTCAAGGTGAGGCTGCCCAGCCAGCCCGCCCTGTCTTCCTCCAGGAGCAGCCTGCGGGGGCCTCCTCCCAGCCGGCACAGCTCCGGGTTCTTGGAATTATCCCACTTCCTCTGACGTGAGCTGTGTGCCTGGCCAGCCTGGCATGTCCCTCCCCCTCGGCGCCAGCCCTGCCTGGCAGAGCCCCGTCCCACCCTGTCCTGCCTGCAGGTGTGAGCCCCAGCTGTGTCTGCCCAGCCGGGGTGCGCGGCCTCGCCTGAGAGCACAGATGAGTGACGAGAGCGTGTGTTCTGTGTGTAGATTCTCCTCAGTAACCCCCAGATGTGGTGGCTGAGTGACTCGAATCCTGAGAACCACCACCGCCAAGAAGGCTCTTCCCAGGAGAATATTGACCAAGTGAGTGAAGGGCCACGTGCCCCTGCCCTGCAGCCCGCTGGGACTGGCTGGGTGACGGGTGGTGGCAGGACTGCTGAGTCCCGCTCCCAGGGGCAGTGCAGGGGCAGGAGCAAACAGGAGGCGTCTCCGTGGAGAGGGCCCAGGAGGAACGCGCCCAGTGGTGGTTCTTCAGGCTTCTATCCCTCGTGCGGGCCCCCGCCAGCTGCTCAGGAGGTGGCGGTGGCGGCTGTCATGGGCCCCCTGCACTAGCACACTGCTCGGCGGTGGCTCCTCAGCTGATGTACCGGGGGCAGTGGGCAGCACTGTCCCTGCAGCCCCAGCCTGTACGCGGTGCCCCCAGGCAGTGCCCAGACCTTGCTGAGGCCAGGCTGTCCCGCCGCGGTACGTCACCCCGTGCTCTCCCCCAGCTGGTGTACATGGGCTTCGATGTGGCGGCGGCCACGGCTGCCCTGAGGATGTTCCGGGGTAGCGTCCAGCTGGCAGCTCAGACCCTGGCGCTCAACGGAGGGAGCCTCCCCCCCGACCTCCAGCTCTCGCCGGAAGATTCCTCATCAACGCCCTCCACATCCCCTTCGGACTCGGCGGGTAGGTCCTGGCTCTCCGCAGCCCCAGAGGGTGACGGTGCGGCTGTGCGTGCGCGGGGGCGACGTGGGGGCGGGGCGCCCGGGGTCTGCGCCAGATCAGCGGGGCATGGTGTGGACCCCCCCTTTCTGCTGCGCTCACCTGGCTCCGCTGTCACTTCACGGCAGGCACCTCCAGTGCCTCAACCGATGAGGACATCGAGACCGAGGCCGTCAACGAGATCCTGGAAGACATTCCGGAACACGAAGAAGACTATCTGGACTCCACGCTGGAAGACGAGGCGATCATCATCGCGGAGTACTTATCCTACGTGGAGGGCGTCAAGGCAGCAGCCAAGAAAAACTGAGTCATGACGAGAAGTGCTAAGTTTCCGCTTATAAACTCTATCCTCATGAAGGTCTCCTGCAGGTTTCCTTTTTGTCTTCTTCCTTCTCCAGAGCCTTCCTGCCTGGGGACTGGGGGGCAGGCAGGGAGCAGGGGCACAGAAGGTAGGAAGGCCTGGGGGTGCTCTGGGGGGGAGCTGCCTTTAGGTTCTGAACCCCTAGTGCTGCCCTCTCCGCTCACCTTCCTTCCACCCAGAAGTGGGCCGGGCTGGAGCAGGGTGGCCTCGGGGAGGTGCTGGGAGGGTGAGGGAGCCCCCCTCATCTGCCCCGCTGCCTCTCGCCCAGCTCTCCTGCCCTCCTGAGCCACTGCTGCCCCTCCTCCTGCCCAGGAGGTGGCCTCTGCTTTCCTGCTTCACCCTCTCAGCTCCATCCCTAAAATGCCCTGTAAATCTTCAGCCATTCCAGGGGCTCGGGCCTGGGGAGGTGGAAGGGGCTGCCGCAGCCGCCGCGCCATGGCCCGTGCCTCCCGCCTAAGCCTGTGCTCTGCCGCCTGCAGTAAGACACGTTCCTGAAGTTCAAGGTCGAAATTCAGAATTTATCTGCTTTTAAATTTCTCCTTTACAAAATAAAATCTTTTACCAAGCGGGAAAGTGTGGCGTGCTCCCCGAAGCAGCTTCTTTTCACTCGGCAGTCTAACGCCGCGCTGCGGTCAGCTCGCCTCCGGCTGGGATCTGGCCAGAGGCCGAGAGAGGTTTTCGCCAGGCGTGTGGTTTTTGTCATTTCCGTATCACACCGCCAAGGGCACCAGACAGCCTTGCAGGGGCTCGAATCCCTCCTCGAGTCCTCCTCCCGTGCCCACCTGCAGTGGACGGAAGAAGTTGCAGCCCAGGACCCAGCCGGCAGGCGTGTCCCCGCGCCCTCCCGCCCGTCCAGAGGCGCCGGGCCGAGAGGCTGACGGGTCGTGGTATGGACAGAGGTTGCGTTGGGATGGACACACATCCTTTCTTTTGAGATGGATGATACGGGTGGAAATAAAGGGTAGAAAAAAGATTCAAAAACCGCCTACCTTTGTGTGAAGTGACCCAGCTGCCCGGCCTGGCGGAGTGGAGGCGAAGCGTCCGGGCCCACACCCAGATCTGGGGGTGCGTCCGCAGAGGCTGGGGATGGAGTGTGCCCTCGGCGGTCCGCGTCTGCAAGGAGGGGCCTGTGGAGCCGGGGCCGGGCTTGCGTGCGGAGCAGGTCTGCTGGGGGCCCAGAGCCTGTGGAGACCAGGTCAGACCAGGCGCGCTCCGGCCTCGACTGCAACTTTGACCAAGTTGCTGCCTGAGCCTTGGGCCGGGCGTGGTGCCTCGTTTCCCAGATGCTCTAACCACCAGAGAGGCTGGGGGCGCCGTGGCGCCGGGACTCTGCTCCGTCCCGTGACGGGACGCCTGCGCAGGCAGCCCTGGGCTGAGGGACCGTCCGGCCTGGTTCTGTTGCATCTGGTCGCGTGCAACTGGGCAGGCCGTGACCGGCATCGCTCCTGCTCTGCAGGGCATGTGTAGAAGCCAAAGTCACCAAGGAAATGGGTCTGTGGGGCTGGACTTTCCTCCAGAGTGGGAGAAAGAACATTCCAGACCCAGGAGGAATTAAAGAATAGTGGGGGCAAAACAGCCAAATGCACCCCTGCCAGAGGGCAGGGGGCTGGGGTGGGCAAGAGAATCATGAAGTTGCAAGTCCAGCTGCGGGGCAGGTGGAAAGGGTGGGACGCAGACAAGACTGGGTGGGGATGGGGGGTGGGGGAGCCTCCCTGGGGGCACACGGGGCTGTGTCTCAGCCTGTCAAGCTGCCACCAGCCTCCGCAGCTCAAGTTCCATCCCCGGCCAGGAGCTACCCACAGGGCGCCGCAGACTCTCCCGTCTCCTCGCTGCTCCCCGCAGCAGTGGATTTCAATCTACCCGTTCTGCTCCCCAGTCTCTCTGGGGAGTCCTCTCACCCCCCACTTCTGGCCTGCACCCCAGCTCTTGTATGCATAAATAAATTGAAAAAAAAAAAAAGGACTGGGCAGGCAGACTACAGCGACTAGCTCTGGGCTCTGCTCCGTCTTCCTGCCACCGTCCCTGAGGGCTCTGCCCTTGCCCTGTTGTACCGCGCGCGGAGAGGACTCGTGTCAGCCAGAGGGCGGCTCTGGTCAGCGGGTCCTCCACGCCTCGGCACCCAGCGAACGCCTTGGTGTGGCTGAGCCGTCCTGTGCTGGGGGAGCAGGAGAGTGGTCTTCCGTGCTCTTGGGGGGGCCTGGGGGGAGGCCCCGGGAGCATGTGTATTCTGGTTGGGGTGCGATGGGGCTGTAAGGTGGCGGGAGCGAGGCGGTGGCGGGGCACACATCAGCCCTCAGCGTCGGGGGCTCTGGCTGCTGCCCAGCTGCCTTGGCAACAGGACAGGCTGAGCGCAGGCTCTCCTGGATTTCTCCGTGGCCAGGGTGCCCCGGCTGCTCCCCGGGGTGCCTGCCCTGAAGAAGAGCCCTGGGGGCAAGTGCCCGCGCCTGGGCACGAGCCGCGCAGACATCACCAGCCCTCACGGCCGCTGCACCGCTGCTCCCTTGAGAGGCCGCGCTGGCGGGCTGTGTCCCCTCCTACTGCCCGCGTTGCCACTATGGACGCGCCCATTCTGCTCAAGGGGGCCATCCAGCGTGGACCTGGGCCCTGAGCGGTGGCCTGCAGGGCCCCTTGGCATGGAGACACAGGTGCTGCCTGTGTGCCAGGGCCGCCTTGGCACAGGAGGGCTTCTGTCTGGGCAGGTGCCAGCCTCCGGGGCAGACCCTGCCTCATGCAGTGTCTCTTTCCACACCAGGGGCCGGCCAGGCCCTGGCACTGGACATGTGCCCCTTCAGGTCAGGAGAGCGGCTGCTGGGGCCGCAGCCCTGAGGCCTCTCCCAAGTCTGAACACCGCTCCCTGCTTCTCCCACCCCCCAAGATCTCAGGCTGCTCTGAGTGTGCCCTGCTAAGCACAGAGCTGGCTCTGGGGAGCGGGGCTAGGTGGCTCCCACCCAGTCTTCCCAGCCCAGGCCCGAGAGAAGAGGGACCCGCCTCGAGTCACACAGAAAACAGTGGGAGCCCCAAAGCAGGATGGTCCCTGCTGTCACTAGACGGCGGGTCCTTGTTCCCCGGCTGCAGCCAGGGAGGGCAGGAGGGCAGGAGGGGCCCCTGGACCTCTGGGCCCTGCTGCCTGACTGCAGAACAAAGCAGACACACGCAGAGGCTTCCAAGGTGTATTTCGGGTCTCCAGGGCTTCCTCGGGACAAGCAACAGGGCAAAGCAACACTCGGAGGCCCGGCGGCTTTGAAAAGGAGCGCCCCGTTGGCTCCCGGTGGGGGAGGCCTGGCCGGGGTCCTCGGGGCTGGCCGCGCCGCTGCTGGGGGCCTCTGGATGTGGGGGTGCGGGGACGTGGTCCCCCAGCCGTCCCGGCGCGGTGGGTGGGCTCAGGCCGGCTGCAGGGGCGCGGCGGCGGCGCAGCCCACCTTGTTGCTGAAGAGGCGCGAGAGGCTGCGCTTGGGGGCGGCGGGGCGCGGCGGCGGGGCCCCGGGGAGCCCGCGCACGTCCCAGAGGCGCAGGGCTCCGTCGTGCGAGGCGGTGTAGAGCACCTGGCCGTGCACCTGCGGGCGGCGGGCGCGCGCTGGAGGGGGCGCCCCGCGACCCCCCACCCCGCGGGCACCGGGCCCGAGGCGCTCGCGCGCGCGCCCCGGCGGGGCCGGGCCCCCCCCCGGCCTTCCTCCCCTCAGGCCGGCCCCGAGGTCGCCCGGCCGCGCGCGGCGCCTACCTGGAGGCAGTTGATGACGAAGGCGTGTCCGCGGAACACCCGCCGCAGCGCTCCCGACCGCGCGTCGAAGGCGCGCGCGCAGGCGTCCCCGCTGCCGGTGAACACTGCGGACACACGCCGCGCTGACCCGGGCCCGGCCCCGCGCCCCGCTCCGGACCCGCCCCAGCGCCGGGCGCCGCGGCCCCTCGCCGGCCTCCTCGGGGGGCCGCCGGGTGTCCCCCACTTGCCGGGAGCTGGCGAGCCCCAGCCCCTCAGCCACCCCGGGGCGCTGGTCTAGAGCGAGGCGCGGGCCGCCCGCGTCCGGCCTGGAGGAGCCGCGGCAGGTGAGGGCGGGGCCCGCGGGCTGCTGCTCCAGGTGCCGCTCAGGGAGGTAACAGCCGCCACCTGCGCCCGCCCGCCCGCCCCGCGCCCGTCCCCCGCCGCTCGCTCGCTGCGCCGCCTCCTCAGCCTCGGGCCGCCGCGCTGCTCCGCTGTCCCGCACGTCCCTCGAGGCCGGTTCTCCGCGTCCAGCCGGCGCGGCGCGGGCCTCGGCTCCCCCCGGAGGGCGTGGCCCGCCCTTCCCTGGCTGGACAGTGACATGGGGGGACACACCCCATCTCCGCGAGCCCCCTTCGGTGGGCTCTGAGGCTGCTTCCCAAAGGAGCGCCCCGTTCTTACCGGCTTAGCCAGGGCCCCCCAGCAGCCAACCCTGACTAGGGACTGGGAACTAACAATTGCTTGGGGAGGGCCCCCCAGGAAGTGGGGCAGAAGTAGGGGTGCCCCAACGGCTGTATCAGTCAGCAGATGACGGCTGGGGCCTCTGGGAGTAGGTGTGCCGCACATCTCAGGGACCCCACCTTGGGCCAGGACACCCCGTGACTCCGTGACTCGGCCACCAACTCCCCCCTCGTGGGCGGCAAGTGCTGGGGCAGAAACTCCCACCCAGCAGCCTGAGCAGAGCCACGGTGTAGGGTAAAGAAAATGTCAGGCTTTTCTGCCCTCCCGCCATCAGGATGGATGAGGGATCCCTGCCGTCCTGAGTAATGCCTGATGGCGGCCCCTGGAGTGGGGTGTGGGCCTAGGGAGATGAGATTCACCTGGGCTGAGACTGGGCTCTTAAGGGCGGCGTCACGGGGACGCCAGGAGCAGCAGTAGAAGCCGAAGCCGAAAGAAGAAGCTGAGAAAGAAGCCGAAGAGAAGCAAAGCAGTAGAAGCAGAGAACTCCAGAGAGCCCAGAGAGAGTGAGGACTTGCTGGGGGCTGGGGGCCTGCCAGCCTCCCGGCCCCCCAGCCAGCACCCCTGCCTGCCATATGCCTGGTGAACCCAATAAAAAACCTGCAAAACCACTGAGGACTCTGACTCCTCCTTTACCCGGTCTGCATGGGATCAGAGAACCTGCCCTGTGTCCTGTCTTGCCTTTACACACGGCAAGCACCCCAGGGCACCCTGGCCTCAGGGTGTGTTCCCTAGGCCGGTTCCTGCCTCACCTGCCCACCCAGCCTTTCTGCAGAAGCTGCGGGCAACTGTGGCCCTGGGAATTTCACTTCCGGCCGCCTCCTTTCTGTGTCCCCTCCCCCAGCAGACACGGCCCAGAGACTCCAGTGGGGTTGCTGGGTGCCCCCCGGTGGGAAGGGGGTCAGTAACACTGACGAACCTGGAGCCTCGGGCCAGGCCAGGCCAGCAGGGAGGGCCTGGAGCCGCGGGTGGGTCTGGTGCAGCTGCTCAGTGGGGAGGAGCCTCGAGGCGACACCCCTCTTTGTAAGTGAGAGGTTCCCCCCTTGGGAGCAGAGTCATGCTCACACTTACAGGCTTGGGCACAGGAAGAAGGAAAAAATAAATTTCCCTGTCAGACACCCGACTCCCGAGGGCCTCTGGCTCTATTTGCAGAGTGCGGGTCCACGCCACCGCACACCTGGGCCGGGAAGCAACTCCACGCCCCCTCGACCGTCCCTCCCGCCCCCTCCCCCAGCGCTGCGGGAGGCCTGTGGGAAAGGGTTGGGGAAAGACTTGGGGAACCTGGGGCCCTCGACCCCGTGGGTATAGTAGCGTCTACCTTCTGGGTGTGTGCGGGGCATAAACCTGTGGCCGGCCAGTCGGGCAGAGCCGCAAGGCCAGATGCGCGGCAATTTAGGCCTGTGGACAGGGACTGCTCCTCCCCAAGAGACTGTTCTGCTCTTTCTTTCCCAAACAGCTTGGACTAATCCAGCGGGGCCCCGCTGAGGGCCCCGTCCTTCAGGCTCTTGCAGGCGGAATGGCCTAAGAGGGCCCCACGGAAGTCTGTGTGGGGTTTCTGGGGAAAGACCTTTCAGTGGGTCTGCTCAGCCAGGAAATGCCTCCTCTGCCCCTCCCTACTCTTCTCCTGCCTGCCTGGGACACACAGCGATGGCCGGCGCAGCAGCAGCCATGTTGCCCTCAGAGGCCCCTGTAAGGAGGTGCTATGAGCTGGGGATGGTGAAGCCAGATGGCAGAGGAAGGTGGGTGCAGACGACTGTGTGGAGTCATCGCTCCAGCCCAGACTGTCGCCCTCTGAAATTCTTCTACCTGAGAGAAAAATGAACCACTCTCTCACTTCCACCACGGTTGCCTGGTGCCAAACCCACGTGGTCCTCAAGAGCGGCTGGAGTGACGGGTGTCACTGCCTCAGTTTGAGAACCAGACTGTGTCCTTGAGATGTGCCCTCGACCCTAGGACTTCTGCACATTCAGGGTGAAGGTGCAGGGAGCCCCCCTCACTTGGGCCTTCTTTGTGAATAATGTTGGAGGCTAGGGAGGAACCTGCTGCGCAGAGGGCAGAGGAGCAGGAGGCCCTAAGCAGGGTGGCCTGGGGGGAGCAGGCGGGGTGCAGGGTTGCGCCGCCGGAGGCCGGTGGCTGGCAGGGTGGGCAGGGCTGGGCAGGTGACTTACAAGTGCCTGCATGGTACTTGAGGGCGCTCACGCCGTGTCTGTGGGTGGAGAAGGTGCGCAGGGGCTCCCCGGTGTCCGCCAGCCAGCACTTGACAGTCCTGTCGGCGCTGCCCGAGTACACGTGCCCATTCACGAGCTGGGGGGGGGAGGGGCGTCGGCAGCGGCCGGGGTGCAGCGGCAGAAATGCCCCGTGCAGCCCGCCCACTGCCTGCTGTGGCCAAGGCCCCTCCGCCCCCGCCCCGGCTGGTGTGGGGTCAGACAGGCCACCTGGCGGGCAGCGCTTCAGATCTTGCCGCTCTGTCCAGGGTCCAGGTCCCGGACCCGGCGCTTCCACCACCTGGCCCGGAGGGAGGGTCCTGCCAGCGCCGTCCTCACGGGGGCGACACCCGGTTGCACAGAGGAAGCCCACGAGGCTCCCTGGCCCTATGGGTGTCCCCCGAGGCGCCCCCAGAGTCCAGCTGGGGGGGATCAGCTGCAGCACCTGCAACCCCACCGGCCTCGCCCTCGGCCGCCCCACCTGAGCAGAGGCAGCAGGCGTGACTCCCGCACGGGCCTTCTGTTTGCAGAAGGACGTTGAAGGTCTAGAGAAGCCTGACCAGCTGGGGCGAGGGTCCGGGTGGACCTCTGCTAGGTGGAAGATGGGCACGCAGGGGTGCCGGGCGGGGAGCAGGAGGACCCCACTTCTTGGCCCCAGGTGGCTGGAGCGGAGCCCACACCCGTCTGGGTCGCAGGTCAGGAAGGGGCCTGGGAGATGAGGAAGCTGAGGGAGGCCTCTCGCGGCCTGGGGCAGGGGCTCCCCCAAGGACACCCCACGCACGGCCCCCGCTGGCAGCTCCGGGAGAGATGGGCTGGGCTGGTGGGGCTGGTGAGCTCCCCTCAACCACTCTGCACCCAGGGCAAAGCAACCCCCTTTCTTCGCATTGCCCCCGTCGGCCTCACTGCACACAGGGTCGCCAGCTCCTCGCACATCCCCACCAAGCACAGGTCTGCTTCCCGGGCACCCGCTGGGGTCTAGGGGCCCTGTGGGACTCACTCTGTCCCCCGGAGCCTCTCTGACTAGCAACACTTGTGGGGTCTTGCTCCTCGTGGCAAACTGACTCCCTGCTCACCTCTGGGGCCCCCCTCTGTCTGTGGCCAGGCTTCCTGCACCCCAAATCCTGCTGGCCTGAACCCTGCAGATGACGTTGGGCGGGTGTCCCCTGGTGGAGGAAACTGGGGCTGCAACAGGTCCCCCCCTCAGCCAGCACCCCGGTCCGCGAGGTGTCTGCTCAGCTGTTTGCTGCTTGGAAGAGCAAGACAGAGGCCTGGCCGGGCCCACGGCGGTGCCAGGCTGCGGCCGTGGGCCCTTGAGCGTGTGTGAGCCGTGAGTGTGCGTGCACGTGGGGTGTCCACGGCGTAAGCAGCAGGGGGGTGGCATGTTCCTCAGGAAGAAGCTGGGACGTGGAGGGGCGACCGGGGGACGCGTGGGGAGGCGGCCGGGAGGGGCCTCGGGGGCCGGCCCTGCTGACGGTGACCGCGGCCCGGCCCGGGGCGGCACGGCAGACAGGCCTCACCTCCAGGCAGAGGACGGAGCCCTGGTGCTCCCGGAACACCCGCAGCTGCTCCCCGCGCAGGATGTCCCAGGCGCGCACGGTGGCGTCGGTGCCCCCGGTGAAGGCCGTGTGGCCGGGCGCGTCCAGCACCAGGCAGAGCACGGCCCCGAGTGGCCCCGCAGCGTCTGGTGGCAGCAGCCGCTGGCCACCTGCCACACCTTGGCCGTGCCGTCCGTGCTGCCGGTCACCAGGAGTCCCCCGGCCGCAGCCGCCTCCGGGCCGGGCGCTCCGGGCAGGCCCCAGGGCTCGGAGTAGGCCAGGGTCAGCACGCAGTTGCGGTGGCCCCGGAACTCCCGGGACGCCTGCCCCTTGTCCACGCTCCAGGCCCGAGCCGTCCGGTCATAGGAGCTGCTGAAGAGCTGGTTGTTGGCGACCAGGATCCTGCGGCGGAGGGGGGTCGGGGTCAGGCGGCACGGCGCCGAGTCTAAGTCTTCAAGGTGATGGGGGCTAAGTGACCCCAGAGAGCAAACTGGAGACACCAACCTGGGAAATCACGGGGCTGGGGAATCCCTGGACCCCCGCCCTGGTCGGGGGGCATCCCCAGGGCCGGGAGAGGCCTCTGGGCTCCCCCACCCACAGCTCGCCTGCCCTGCCTGGTCACCTGCCTGGTCAGAGAGCAGCTGCAGCCGGAAGAGCAACTCCTTCCCTCCTGCCAGCTGGCTGCACCCCCCTTCCAAGCCCAGCTCTAAGTGTCCCTTCTCCAGGACGCCCCCAGAACGTCCCGACACCCTCTGTGCCCGCCTGAACCGTCCCCTCGTCCATCCCTCCCAACGTGTTGGGTCCCCCCCCCGCCCCAAACAGGGGGCTGCTCCCCATAACAGTTCTAGGGCTGGGGGAGGGAAAAGTGGGGGTGTACGCAGCATGGAGAGGAGCAGCAGGGACACCCACTCTCGGCTCACCCAGAGCAGGAAAGTTTCTAGGGGACCCAGGACTTGTGGTCTTAGAAACAGGGAAGTCCTGGCAAAGTGGGACCCGCAGCTGACCCCAGGGGGCTGGGCAGACTCGGGAGCCTGGGGGCCTCCCTGGAGAAGCAGGGGAGAGGTGGGGTGCCCCGGGCCTCTGGGCTCCCAAGGCGGGGCCTGCGGGTTCACAGCCACCGCCCAGCTGAGAGTTTCAGTCCACAAATGAGGGTGAGCTGCACCCCAGGACCAGCTTGTCCCACTTGCCCACCCCTTGCCTCAGCCCCTCTGCCCCCAAAAGAGACTCCCCTGGACAGTTTTCCTCAATCGCCAGTTTCTTTCTGGAAAGAGCTGGGGAGGCGGCTGCTCCAGCCTCTGCCGCTTGCATGGCCTGACCCCGGGTCTCAGGCCGCCCCGGCTGCTGGAAGGCGGGGGCTGCGCCTGAGCTCCACAGGGCCCCTCCAGACCGCCGTCTCCCCCTGCTTGGGATCCACCGAACTCTCTCTACCCCAGATGGCCCTGGAGCCGGCCCTGCTGGGCCCCCCCACGGCTCGCCTGCCTGCCAACCACCGAGCAGACGCGTGAGGCCAGCGTGAGGCCAGCGTTGTGCCTGGTGAGGGTGGGCAGCACCCGAACCGGGCCCCGAGCAGTGCACCCCGGGCAGCGCCCTCCGGTCAGCCAGGCGGCCTTGGGGCTGGGCAGGCCTCCTCGAGCCTCACCCCACTAGGGTCCGGGACACCACAAGTTACATAAATAGCATCAAATTGATCAGATCAGCAAAGGAATTTCCATGCTCAGCTCAGGCCCAAATTCAATAAGGGAAGGAAAAATTCAAACCTCCCCAAGAAGGGGGTGGGGGAGATTTCCAACAGCAACATGCAAAGGAGACCTTTAAAAACACCCCACTCCCTCTCCAGAACACCCCCGTGCTGCGCCCCGCCCCCCAGCCCTGGCCACCCTCGGGGACCAGTTCGGCCGTTTCCTCGGAGATGCGCCCATCCGCAGGCGACCCCGCGGGGCCTCCAGCACAATTCACTGTGCTGCCCCCATCGGACCCCACCTCGCCCTGGGCAGCTAGAACCTGCCCCCCGGGGACAGTCTGTCCGGGGCTGTCCACCGCTATCGCCCGAGGACTCCTGACTGCAGCCACGGCCTGCAGCTCCGCCCCGGGCCCGCCAGCCGCCTCGGGCGAGGCCTGTCCCCACCGCGGGGCCGCCAGCCACGCTGACCTGTTCACTATGGACGTGTGTCCTCGGAACACCTGCAGGCACTGCCCGGTCAGCACGTCCCACTTGCGGATGGTGCGGTCGGCGCTGCAGGTGAAGGCGGCCTCGTCCTCCAGCTGGCAGAAGGTCACGTAGCTCTCGTGTCCTGCAGACGAGGGGCCCATGAGCCGCGGGCGACACTCTTCCGGGAGGCTCCAGGCAGGCAGGGAGGGAGGAGGGTGGGGGTCTGAGACCAGACAGGACGGGACGCCCCTTTTCACATGACAACTTAAGTCTGGGAGCCTCTAGGGGTGCTGGGGCTGTTCAGGAGACATCCTGCCGCTGAGCACGCTGTCTCCCTCCTTGCTCTTCCACTCTCTTCCCGACTCTTACTTCCCTCCCATGCCCGGCTTTGAGCGCCTGTAGTCTTCAAACTTCTCAGCTGTTTGTATTCACTCAGTCATTCAACAAACCCAAGATGGAGGCAGGCGGCGCAGAGGCCGGGGGCATGGCCTAGGCTAGCTCCCGCCTGGGGACAGGCACCCCACCTCTCCGTGCCTCAGTTTCTTCGCCTCTGGGGTGGGGAGCACAGCAACACCTATCTCTTGGGGTCACTGCATGGACTCCTGAGCCGGGGCCAGTGCCCCCTGGCCTGTCTGGGGAGAGACGCTGGGAGGGACACCAGGCCCTCTTCCCGGGCCCTGACATGTTTGGGAAGAGACACGTTTGCAGCTGTCACGACGTCAAGGGGTGGGGAGATGGTCCTGGACATCCTGGGCCCTCGGCGCAGTCACAGGCGCCTTCCTGAGAAAGCGGCAGCTGTGGGGATGCAGAGAGGCTCCGCGAAGACTGAGCCATTTGCAGCTGCTGGTTCTGGGGCCCAGAGTGACGTGGACGCCGGTTCAGGAGCGCAGCAACCCCCAGACCCTGGGAGAGGAAGGGGACTCCCGCCGCCGGGTTTCGGGGGCAGCTCGGCCCACACCCGACACTCACATGGGACTTCCGGCCCCTGCGTTGCGCAGGGAGAGGCTGTCCCACGTTGCCCGGCGCGTCACATGCCACGGCCAGGGCCCCGCTAAGGCACAGCCCCCTGCCCCGAGGGCCCCGGGGGGCCTGTTGGGGGAACACTCTGGAGAGGATACACCTGGGGCACATGCCAGGTAGGAATCCCTGAATTTGGGGCCAGAATTTAGGGGTTCAGCACAAATGGCGGATGAGGCTGAGCACAGTCTAGCGTTGGGGAGGGTCTCGGCCAAGCACACCTGCCGCCCGTGTTGGCGTGTCCAGCGGCGAGGGCAGTGTTGTCCAGGGGCCCTCACGTTCCTGGTCAGGGGAGAGGCTTCCACCTCGGACAACTTCCGACAACAGACCGGAGCCGAGTGTACTTGAGGGGAACCGGGGACCAGAGTCCGCGGGTGTCAGGCCTCAGGGCAGTCACACCCTCCGGTGTGTCGCGGCGGCCGCACTCCTGGACCCGCGCGTGTGGGGCACATCCATCATGGGAAGGATTTTGGTGGAATTTTAATATTTCACCTACATGTCGGGTCAGGTAGATTGGGTTGGGGGATGATTAGAAGCTTCTGGTGGTTTCAAGCTGATCCACGCCTCTTTTTGGTTTTGCCCCAGATTTTAGTTCCTTTTGCAAGAACCCAATTTTCTGGGTTCTAAGAAACATTGTTTTTTAAGCAAGAAAGAAAGACATGTTTTCCCGGCTCCTTGGACAGCACATGCCAGGCCTCCCAGGCCTTCCCTAAAATACATGTCAATTTAAAAACTGAGGGCGTGGGCCTCCCCGGTGGCGCAGCGGTTGAGCGCTGGGCTGCGAAGCTGCCCGCGGCCTCTGCAGCGCCGGTTCGATCCTCGGCTGCTCCCCGGCCACCGGAGGAGGGTCCCACATGGCGCGCAGACCTCTCCTGCCGCCCGCTGCTCCCCTCAGCAGTGTCCTTCGGTCCTTCTGCCTGCTCTGCTCCCCGCTCTGGCTCTGGTGAGTTCTCTCACCCTCCCGCGCTTCTGACTGTACCCAGTGCTTGTATAAATAAATAAATAAATCTTAAAAAAAAAAAATAAAAACTGAGGGCGAAATGTGTTTGGCAAAACGTGGCCGAGCTCTCACCAGCCCCAGTGTTTATGAAACCTCTCGCGATGTCAAGAGGCCTTCCTGGAGGCCAGCTCGTGCTGAGGACCAAGAAGGGGCGGCCTTGCTCCATGGAGGGGGCGCTGGGCCGGGCCGGGGTCCCCAGGTCTGAGATGCGGGGCCTGTCCCTCAGCCCGGAGCAGCTCCCAGGCTCTCATCCCTGTCCCGGCTGCTTCTGTCATGTCAACGGCGTTCCGGCAGCTGGGAGCTAAGTGCCAAGTGTGTGTGGTAAGTTAAGCCAAGAAAAGCATGGAGAGCCCTGGGGGGCTCAGTAACCCCAACACCCCTGCTCAGCGAGGCGGGGGCCCGCAAGCAGGGAGGCCCAGACCCCGAGCGGAAGGGGGCTGCTTTCGTGACATGTGAAAATTTAAAAGGGACACACACTCACTGCCCGCGGGCCCGGGAAAGTGTACGGGCGTGAGCGAGGGAGAGAAGCCGCTCTCTCGAAGGGGGCTGTTGGGAATCAAAGAACCTCAGCTCCGACACTCTGCCAGGAGGACCCTCTACCCTCAGGGGCCCGGCTGGAGCTGGCCCAGAAGCCCTGCGGCCAGCAGGCTCTCGGTGGACAAGCTCCCTCCTCTGGGCCCCTCCTTCTGCAAACACCAGCCGAGAGCCCTCTGGCCACAGGGTCCCTGCCCTGAGGCACGGTCTGCACCCCAGGCCTGTGGGTCGCCCCAGGAGCAGGGCCCGCCCGTGAATGCGGAGGCGGGGTAGAGGCTCCAGCCACTCGAGGGCCCACGGCGCCTTGCTGAGAGCTGCTGGAATTGTGCAGAATAAGCAAAAAAGCCAAACTAAAAATAAATATTTTCAAAGGGATGAAGAACGCAGATAAGGTGCAGCGCTTGCTTTCAAAAGGGCACATCGGGCCCGGGTGCCGGCAAGGCCTCTGCTTCCCGCCTCCCGCCCGCACACCCTGGGACTCGCTGGAGGCGCCCTCCACGCCCAGGTGGAGTAGCTGGGTGCTGGCGTGGGGCACTGGTGGGGGGCTGGGGCGCCAGCCGAGCTGGGCTGGCTCCTCACTCCTCATCCTGCTGCTGTTGGTGAGTCTTCCAGCTCCCCCCGCCCCCCAGCAGCAGTCCCTCCTCCTTCCCGGCCTGGTCTCAGCCATCCCGCACCCCCCATCGCTGTAGGGACCCCTCCGTGAGCGCCCTGGTGCCCCCACTTCTCACAGCCCCCAAGCAGCCAGAGCGCCCCCTGAAGAGACTGGACCAAGAAGAGGTGGCCGGTCCACGCGCAGGGCCCTCTGCAGCCAGAGGGAAGAGGACACTGCGCTCAGAGCAGCCGAGGGGCTGGGGGCCGCCCAGGGTGGCCAGAAGGACCAGGTCAACCCCAGAGGTTCCGGGGGCAGCAGCGCAGGGAAACAGAGCAGGTGAGTGGACAAAGCCAGATGCTCGCGGCCTGGCGGGCTCTGGAGCCCACGAGGGCGGCGGGCGGGCGGGATGGGGGCGGGAGACCAGCAGGAGCGAGAGCAAGGGAGGCAGGACAGTCAGGCGCTCGAGGGTGCGCAGGGCGCCGTTTTAAACGCAGTTACATCCCCACGCAGGTCGCAGAGGGACGAGGGCAGAGAAGGCCTGCAGGGAGGGCGGGAGGCTGGGACTCCCCCGGAGGTGGGTCCGCAGAACCACTCAGACAACCCCGACGGGGCCGGGGCGGCAGGAGCCCTCAGGCAGCGCCCCGAGTCCTTGCCTCCCGGAGCCCTCCTGCAGCCGGCCCAGGCCACAGCGCCGGGGTCCTCGCCCCAACCTCTGGCCACGCTTTGCCAGGCCCCTTATTAAAAACTCTCCAGTTACTCTTCTGGGGCCCTTCTGTTTCCTGCCAGGGCCCAGCCTGAGAGAGGCGCCCTGGGGTGTGTCCTCAGACCACGGGGGACGGTGCCCAGTCCAGAGCAGGGCAGAGAGTCTGACACGGGCCAGCAGGACTGGGGCCGAGTCCCCAGGACAGGCGGAAGCTCTTGTCCCCCGGAGCCGGGCCTGCCTGCTGGCCCCGCTTCTCTCCCCACGACCTCGGTCATGCTGCTCTGTCCGACCTCTGCAGCCCACACCCGAGGGAAGCCCGGCACCCCACACGGGGCCCTCCAGACAGCTGAGGACGAGCTCCCAGCGTGGGCCCCCGCAGACTCAGCAAACCGCACTCTGACGGCATTCTTCCTCGACCAGCACAGTCGATAACGGCTTGTTTATGTCTGAGAGCCTTCCCTGCGCTCCCACAAGCCCTTTGCAAAACAAGCACGAGATGACTCAGCAATCTGACTTTGGGGCTGTGCCCAAAGGGGCTAAAAGCAGGGCCCACGGAAACCATGCACCCCGTGTTCACAGCGGCGATATCCCCGTCACCAGAAGTGGCGGCGACCCCCGAAGTCCACTGACAGATGCAAGACAAAACAGACCCTCCACCGTGGAGTAGTACTCAGCCTCGAAAAAGGAGAGAATCCTGGCAGTTGCTGCAACAGGATGAACCTGATACTCGGTGAACTAAGCCGGGCACAAAAGGACACGAATGGCGAGATCACTCACGCCAGGGCCCTGGAGTTGCGGGTCAGAGAGACAGACACAGGATGATGGGGGGGGGTGCGCCAGGGCTGGGGCGGGAGAATGTCAGTGTTGAACGGGGACGGGTTTAGTTTTGGAAGACGACGAGGACGTTCTGGAGAGGAGGGTGGTGATGGCCTCACGTGGATGGACTTGGCGCCACAGAACGGGGCTTTTGGGAGCCATCAGGACGGCAGGACGGAGGCCCTTTCTGTTTTTTTTAAATTACAATGAGAAATGGTCTCGGTTCCAGGCCCACGGGCCAACAGGTGGGCCCCATCTACCCAGCTCACCTTGTCCCGCTTACCTGAAACTCAAGGCGCAGAGCCCCACAGCTGAGCATCTCCCACCCCATCTCAACCCCCTCGTGGGACAAGAGCTGGACCTCGTGGACCCCACCCCAGCGCCCCACGCTATCACCGGGCGAGGGAGTGATGTGGGGCCGGAGGGCGGCTGGCTGGCCCTCTCGTGGCTCCGTTTCCAGGGCGGGCAATAAAAGATGGTGGGGGGCAAAAGAGGCAGCGCTTTGGAGTTGGCGAGGCCCCAACACGGTGCTCTCAACCCAGGGCTTTCGATAAAGGCAGGGGCTGTTCACCAGCTGGCTTCACCCCTCAGGGAGGCTCTGTTAGTATCCTCGGCACCCCCGATTCACAGATCAGGGCACGGAGCACCGCACTGAGGACACGGGATTCCAGCCGAGCGGGAGGTGGGGTGCCACGGAGCCAGCCCCTCCTGCCCCGCGGGGCTGGGCCCCAGCCAGAGGGAGGGAGGGAGGCTGCCTGGAATCAAGCCCAATACACCCAGTTGTCAGCAGCCGGGCGGGGGCTTGTGGAACAGCCCCCCCACCCCAGGAACAGCCCCGGGCAAGAGCCGCCTCGTGGGAAAAGCTGCTGCTCACTGACCACGTGTCCCCGATACGATACACAGGTCCCCAAAGGATGAAAGAGAAAAGGGGACGGGGGGGGATGGGGGGGGTTTCCCAGCCACTCTCCCCTTTGCAGCCCGCTTGGCCGTCCAGCCTTCCTCGTGGAGGGCTCACCTGCGCCCCTCAGGCAGCTCACCTGGTGCTGCTCCTGGCCCTGGCGGGGGGAGGGGCCTGGGCTACTGTCCAGGGGCTTCTGACCAGCCCCTGAGCCCCCACTCTCTGGTTCAAACTGCCCTGAAGCCTGAGGAGTCCCAGCGAAGCCCCTGGCCTCCCGCCAAGAGGGAAACCCGGGCGGGCGGGGTCGTTCCCTGCTGCTCTACCACCCAGGCCGGACCCCACAGGCTCGTCGGAGCCTCTGTGGGCCCAGAGCCCTCCAAGGACCTCGCACTCACCCCCGCCCAGCGGCACCCACGAGAGGCTCGCGGAGGGCCTGGACTTGGTGTCAGGGGACTGCGGGCTCTGGCTGCGTGGCCAGTGTGTGGTCTTGGGTGCCAGCAGGCAGGAGTCACACCGTGGAGAGAAGCCCCCCTGCTGACTGCACTACCCTGGGGACACCAGCACCTGTCTCCAGGGGCATCTCAATGCCTCAAGTGCGGTATTGGGGAGTAACCGACACACCCCCATTTGCACTATAAACCTGTCGGCCTCTCCTGCTCACGGGTGAGTCAGTGACACAGGACACGGAGGGTGTGCAGAAAATACTGGGGCCCGAGCACACGCAGAGACATTTATTAATATTGCGCTGGATATAATGGGCCTCCCCGGTGGCGCAGCGGTTGAGCGCTGGGCTGCGAAGCTGCCCGCAGCCTCTGCAGCGCTGGTTCGATCCCCGGCTGCTCCCCCACCACCAGGCAAGGGTCCCTCAAGGGGCGCAGACTTCTCCAACCGCCCGCTGCTCCCCTCAGCAGTGTACTTCGTCGGTCTGCCTGTTCTGCTCCCAGCTCTGCCTCTGGTGAATTCTCTCACCCTCCCGCGCTTCTGACTGTACCCAGTGCTTGTACAAATAAATAAATCTAAAAAAAAAAAAATATTGCGCTGTATTAAGCCGTTCTATGGGGGGAGACTTTGCTCTTCCGGGGGCCACACCCAGCACGGCTCTCCGGCAAGTTAAGCCTATCAGAACCACGTCAGAGTAAGGAAAGGAGGCCACCTTTGTGCCCTGTGTCCTGGAGAATTCCTCAAGTGCCTACACTTAAAGGAGAGCCTGGCAATCAGGCAGAAACGGCTGTGGGTTTTCAGAGTCCTGCTGCGGAGGGCTGGCCCTCAACCTGGCCACCCTCTGGTCAGGCTTGGCTGGCTGGCAAGGAGTTAGCGGCCAGAGGGGACAACGGCTGTGAGGGCCGCCAGGGGGTGTGAAAGGAGGGCCCAGTGGCTGGACACAGAGCTGTGGGGCTGGAGGGCAGGAGGGTGGGCCCTGGAGACTCCAGGGATGCAAGGGAGGGGGTAGTGAGGGGGAACCCCCCAGGCCAGAACCGCCCCGTAAGTTCTGGCGCTTCAGTGGGGAGGAAGCCTACCAACCGGCCGCCCCTAGTGGGGCAGCTGAGCCTCAGGCCCACCTAAAAGAGTGTTCGAAATACCGACTCTAGTGTCCTGGCCGCAAGGTGCCTGAACCTGGCACCTGAAGGGTCCCCCCGCCCGGGGTGAAAGGCCCGTGTTCGGGCGGCCACGCAAGCAGAACATAAACTTTAGATCTCGAGCGCGGTCGCTGTGTGTCACTTTGGGAGGGTGGAGGAGGGTGCGTGTCCATGTGTGGCCAACTCGCCCTCGTCCACACCCCCACGGGAATCACCGGCGGCCCAAAAGCCGTCCCTGGGGGTCTTCGAAGGTGCCGCTGTAACTGCTTTTATGTAAAAGCAAATGGAAGCGGATCTGCAGTCCCTGCACCTCCGGGGGCTGCAAGGCCCGGAGACCACCTAGGATTTGCTGACTGTGGAGGAAACCCAGGCCTGACGCTAACCCCGAGGCCTCACACCCCATCAGGCCTGCGCTGGGGAGGGGCCTCCTGGGTGCGGGGCCCAGGTGAGCACCACCACCCCAGCTCCACTGCCCTAGAAAGCACTGCTCGGGCCTCGCCTGCCTGTGTCCTGCAGGGCTCGTCAAGCTTCTGAGCCGGCAAGATTGCAAGTGACCCGAGGGCGCCCGAGAGCCAGGGGAGGCCCGTGGGGAAGGGATTCAGGTTCCCACCCACTCCCCTGGGCCTTGAGGCTCCCGTGCCTCCGTTTCCCTGTCTGCGCCGATGGGATGAGGGATGGCAGGAGAGTGAGGACTGCACAGTCCGGTGCTCGGCACAGGGGCGCGCGGCCAGGCCGGGTTAACCGACCCCGGGAGAGGAACGTGCGGCGCGGCCAAGGGTCTGGCCAGGGAGCGCCCGGCTCAGCCACCTGCCGCGCCTCCCTCTGCCGTTACGGCCGCGAGGGCCGGGACTTCACGGCGAGGCGGAGGAGCGGTCTTCGGGCCGGCGGGCGCGCTCTGCCCACGGCCCCCCTCGGCGCCCCCACCCCGCGCGACGGCGCCGGGCTCGGGGCCGCGGGGGGCGGGCGCGCGGGAGGCGGGGGGGCGGGCGCGCGGCGGGGGTACCTTGCAGGAGGGCGCAGCACTGGCCGTCCGCGGTGCTCCAGAGCCGGGCCGTGCCGTCCTCGCTGCCCGTCAGCAGGCGCTGCCCGTCGGGGCTCAGGCTGAGCCAGTTGATGCCCCCGCGGTGCTCGGCGCAGACCCTCAGGGCCGACCCGCCGCCCCCCATGCTGCAGGCGGGCGCGGGGCGAGGAGGGGCCGCGCCCCGCTAGCGGGGGGCGCCCCGGCATCGGCGCGGCGGCTCCCGGCGGCTCCGCCCCGCGGCCATCCCGGTCCCCGACGCGCTCCTGCCGGGCAGCGGGCGCGCGTGAGGCGGGGGACCGGCTCCCGCTGCCCCGGCCGCGCGGCCCTCCGGGGACCCCGGCCCCCCGAGGCGGCAACCCCAGCCCCAGGGGCGCAGACCGCCTCGCTGCCCGCACCCCACCTGAGGAGGCACCGCTCTCCCGGCCCGGCCGGGCGGCAGGGGCGTCTCGGGCCGCGCTGGGAAGTCCGGGCCCCGCGCCGGGTTAGGGGGAACCCCGAAGCCCAGCGCCCCGGCCCGCTCGCCTGCCCCGCCGGTGCCGCGCGCTCCGGGCCGCCGCGCGGCGAACAATGCGGTCCAGCCTGGCTCCTCCTCGGAGACCACCCCCGCGTCCCCTCCCACTGGCCCGCGCCCCGGCCCCCCCCGCGCCCCGGCCCTCGGGGCCACCAGCCGCGCCCCGGCCCCAGCCCGCCCGGCCCTGCCCGCGGGCACCCGCCGGAGCCAAGGCCGGGCCGGGGCGCGGGCGGCTCGGAGGGGTCGGGCGGGCCCGCGCCCCCCGGGGACTCGCTCCGCGGCCGCCCCGCCAGGCGCGCGCCCCCGGCCCGCCAGAGGGGCCCCGCGGGCTCTGGGGGAGGAGCCCCCAGTCCGCCCTCCTGGGGAAACCACGTGCACCCCGAGTTCGAAAGAAACCCCGCCTGGCGAGGGGAGGGCCGGCTCCGCGGCCGCCGGGGGAGGGGGCGGGGTGCGAGCCGGCCGGAGGGGGCGGTGGAGCTTCCCAGAGAAGTCGGGGTCACCCCCTCCGGCCCCGGACTCCGGGGCGCCGGGTCCCGCCGCTGCAGGGCGGGCGTAGGATCCGCCCTCCCCGCCGGCAGAGGTCGGCCACCCACCCCCACCCCCCCACCCCAGGCGCGCGCCCCGGACGGCCCCGGGGTCTCCGCGGCTCCCCCGCCCGGGCAGGAAGCCCTCGGGAGCGGGGTCAGCTGGTTCCCATTAAAGCAGTTCCGGTGCCGACTTCGCGGGGGGTGGGGTGGGGCGACACCCTCCCTCGATCCCCCAGGTCCTAGAGGTAGCGGGGTTTCCAGAACCCTCCGTAGCTCCGGGTTTGGAAACCAGGCGGGCAAGTTAGCCGGGATGGAAGGGCGCGCGCGCGTGCACGGGGGGGCGCTTTGGCAGGCCAGACCGTCACCCCAGCCGGCCTGCTGGTGGCTCACTGTCCCGACTCCAAAGGAAAAGCCCCCAGTGGTCCTGCCGCGCCCTGGACACCCCAACCTGAGACACCCCTCCCCCCACTGTCCTGAGCCAGCAGGAGGCCGGAGGCCGGAGGAGGGGAGAGGGGGTGGACCCTGGAGCTGTCCGGCCCGCGGCAGGGAAGGTGAGCCCCTCCCTACCCGCCAGGGGGAGGCCGGTGGGCCTCGCGACACCTCCCCGAGCTGCGGGCCGAGTGGGAGTTCGTTCTACGACCTGCCAGCTCCAGGGGCCGGGTCACACCCGGGTGAGGCCTGCGGGGCTGCCCCCACCCGCCGGGAGTGGCTCCAGGGGGCCCCTCGCCTTGTCCTCCAGGTCCTAAAGGTAGCAGGATTTCCCGAGCCCTCCGTGGCTCTGGCTCTAGAAAGGAGTGGAGGCCTGGGAGGGTCCTGGGGAGCAGGGGCGGGGGCGCAGCTTGGGAAAGGAGGGGCCGGAAGAGTTCCCCTGGAGCAGAACCCGAGCGCACCAGCCTTCGGGGGCACCTGCCCTGGGAACTGGGAGGAGGGTGGTGAAGCCGTGGGGGAGGCCGCAGGCCTGAAGCAGCTGGTCTGCCCTGGTCCTGGGGAGGGCGGGGGGCTTTCCACGGGGTCACAGACTGGCCCAGGCAGCCCACTGCCAAATGGGCTTGGCTGACTGGGTCTTCACCTGTGCGCTTAAAAGGGACACACAAAAGGGAAATAAAGTGTTTATTTACAAAAAGGGGAAATGAATTCATGACTAAACGAGGGAGGAAGAGAGAGGGAGATAAACTGGTGACTGCGCCCTATCAGTTCTGCTGAGCGGGGACCCCAAGAGCACGCTGACAGCCAGCGAAAAACCAAGGGCCCCCAAGGCCCACAGACTGGTTACACCAACCCTGGCTGCTTAGCCCCACCCGCCCCTTCCCCGCACCCTCCCCTCCGTGGTGAGGACATCATGGGGTTTGCAGTCCCTCTGGTCTGGGGTGGGGTGGGGCCCATAAAACCTATTTGTGGGGCCTCCCTGGTGGCACAAAGGGTTAAGACGCAACCTATGAAGCTGTCCACAGCCACTGCAGCACGAGTTCCATCCCCGGACAGGGAGCTACCCACATGGCGCGGCAGACCCCTCCTGTCTCGCCCGCTGCTCCCCTCAGCAGTGTATTTCAGTCAGTCTGCCTGTTCTGCTCCCTGCTCTGTCTCTGGTGAATCCTCTCACCCCCTGCACCTCTGGCCTGTACCCCAGCTCTTGTATGCATAAATAAATCTTTAAAAAAAAACCTATTTGTGGAGTTTGTGCAGGACGTCCCCCCGTAACAGCATCAGTGAGCAAAGGGGGACCCCACCTGTGGAGCCTCCACAAAGGTCTCTCCTCTCTCGAATCCTTTATACGCTTAAGTTGCCATAAGGAGAGGTCCTGGCGAGGCGGGTGGGTTAACTCGTAAGAAGATGGGGGTTCTGGCACTTGTGGCTGGGGACCCTTTTGTTCCAGGGGGTGTTCACACCACAGGTCACACCACAGCCACGGAGCCGCTAAGGCCATCCAGACGGGCGGTGGGCCCTGGGCCTCCATCTGGGCAGTGGGAATGTTCTGCGGGCTCTGCAGGTGTTGATGCGAGAGGTACCCCCGGTGCCCCTGAGCCCTACGGGTGAGAAGGACACAGCGGTCAGCTCATCACGTGCGTCACCAGCACGAACAACACACGCTGTGATGGGCACAAGAAGGCCGGAGGACGCTCAGCGCTGCTGCTGCTAGGAATGTCTGCGGGACGCAGCAAGAGGTGAAGGGACGGGAGGGGAGCACGTGGCCACGCACCTCAGCGTCCCGTGCGTGCACTCCCCCGCACTCTCGGTGTGTCTGGGGTCACCAGAGAGTCCCCTGGTGTGGGAGCGGGCCGAGCCAGCTGAGAGGCACACTGGCCTCAGGTCTGCCCGCTGCCCCTCACCCCTCGTTCCCAGGGTAACATTTTCTAAATCTGCTCCAAGCGCTCACTGTCCATTCCAATCAGGGTCAAGATGAAAAAGAGAGCAAGCTTAGGAAAGCAAATGTCTCTCCCGTGCCAAGAAAATCTCCTTTGTACTGGCCGCGGCCTTCAGAAATCAGGCCCGGAGTCGCACATGCCTGGGGCTCTCCCAGGTCACCCCCTTCTGGGACTGGAATGTTGGGGCCTTTCCTGAGTGTCTGACCAGGGCTCTGTGAGAGAGACGTGGCCACTCTGTAGTGTGGTGCTGGCAAGCAGCCCGTCGCCCCGAGTTTTCCCTCATCACCTCGTCCTGGCGGCATCAGAGAATGATCAGCAGCTAACTGGACCAAGCAGGCCTTAAACTCCGGCTCTAACTTCTACTCTGGCTAAGATGGAGTCACAGGGGCTGGGCCTGCCCGAAACACCGGGTCACCCGAGATGCAGGAAACAACTGTTTCACGACACCGGACATCAGACAGGGAAGGACAATCACTCCTGACAAGCAGGGGAACTGAGGCCAGCCTGCTCCGGCCCAGCTGACTCCCCGAGTTGCAGGAGCAGCTGAGCGTCCAGAAGAAGAAAGTGGCCAGAGCTGGCGGGACAGAGGCCAGCGGGCAGGGTCCCTGGAGAGCCAAGGACGGCCCCTCTCGGGGAAACAGGCAGGATGGGGCGGGGGTTGGAGGGAGCCAGCTGAGCCTGCAGGGCTGAGAACAGCGCAGGCGAGGTTGGGAGGCGGTGATCACTGACTCGGTGTGGCCAAGGGTGAGACCGAAAGGCAGGAGGTGGCCAGGATTCCCAGCGGAACCTCTAGAGATGGAACTGTGGCCCCAGAATGCAGGTGGCCTGGTTGAAACAGCGCGAGCATTTACTTGGGGGTCATCAGGCCTGCCCTTCCCAGGCTGGAAGCACCTGCCGCCGCGTTGCTGGGCTGAGAGGGCCTGAGTGTGCAGGGCAGGCCCATTCCCAGGCAGGCCTGCTTTCCACATGAGGGCTCGTCGGTGCGTTCTGACGGTGGAGAGTTCCTCAAGTGGTGACTGGTCCCCTCTCGGCCCCGAGCGGCCTGTGATGACCAGCTTGGCTTCGACCCACTCCTGGACGTGGCTGTCTGAGCATGCGTGGACAGCCTCCATGGGCCTGGGGTTCCCGGGCCCCGTGGTCTGCTTCCCCCAGACGCAAACACCAAAGTTTCCTAATTCTTGATCAATGTCTGAAAGTGAACATCAGCAGCATGGAAGGAATCACAGCAGATTTGACGTTACAGAATAAGGTCTTGTAACCCTGAAGACAGAGCAGCAGGAGCATTCCAAATGAAAAGCAGAGAAAAAAGATTTGAAAAAATGAAATGAACGTCAGTGAGTTATGGGACGAGTTCAAACGGCCCTAGTATGTGCGTAACTGGGCTCCTCGGAGAAGAGGAGAGAAATGAGGAAACAGGAAGAAAATTGAAAATGGGGGCCTCCCCTGGTGGCGCAGCGGTTGAGCGCTGGGCTACGAAGCTGCCCGCAGCCCCTGCAGCGCTGGTTCGATCCCCGGCCACCGGAGAGGAGAGGGTCCCACATGGCACACAGACCTCTCCTGCCGCCCGCTGCTCCCCTCAGCAGTGTACTTCGGTCCTTCTGCCTGCTCTGCTCCCCGCTCGCTCTGGTGAATTCTCTCACCCTCCCACGCTTCTGACTGTGCCCAGTGCTTGTATAAATAAATAAATAAATCTTAAAAAGAAAATTGAAAATGGGGGCCTCCCTGGTGGCACAAGGGGTTCAGG